CGATTTTTCCGTGGTCTATGCATGTGGAAACTCGAGGTATTTTAAAGTGTGTTTCTTCCGAAAAAATTGTAAAGAAAGTCCATTCCGAAGACCCTTTGCCAGAAAGTGACCTCTGTCAGACGGAGGATGTGCTGCTCACAAGTGATAGCTGTCGATAGCTGCTTCTTTGCATTGGAGGACTCGATCATGTACTTCCACACAGTACCAAAATTTACATGTGGCAAATCAGTAAGATCCTCATGGAAACCATCCTTAGGGAAAATATCAGTAACATGTGGAGGGTCTACTTCATCTATTAAACCCAGTAAGACTTTCTTTCGCGCAAAATGCACACCTCCATCCGGATCCCGTAAGGTTTTTAAATGAAGGCCTCCCTTGACATAGTCGTTATATCTAAAATAAACCGTAAAGCAAACGATGTCTTCCTATAAATTTAAGCTGGACAGTTCAAAATAACAGACCCTGACAAATTATCAATAACAAAAACATCGTCTGAGCAAACCTCTTGACAAGATCGGCTTTCTTGCCGCCTGTTTTCGCTCTTCTACACAACAGCCATCGTCTAAGCTGTGGTACAGTACACTCTTCAACGTTTTCCCGAGGAAGCTTGGCTCCGGGAATGTCTTCTTCGATAATAACAACTTTTTTGGAAAAACTGGCTTTCTCTGCCGCCATTTTGAAGTTTCGCGCGTCCACCCAAATGATCCCACAAATACCCTACCAGTCAAGTTCGTGCCCAGATTCCTTATAGTTTCTGGAGTGGAGGATTGGGGGTTACGCAACCATACTTTGGGGCGACGGAACTTGGGGCAGCCGTGCAAGGGGGCGACGTCACCTGTTAACATTGTGCTGTTTAGCATTTGATTTAAAATGTCGAAAATTCAGCTTTTCTTTAATCAATCTTTGAATGTTGTCCTTCAGTAACATTTTGGGTAAAGCAATAAAAACACTAATGTGGCCTTGAATTACTGTAAAATATTGTAGGAGTCCAAGCTTTCGCCGCTCAACGGCATCATCAGGGACGGATAAGATAAAATATTCCGCGAGGGCCGAATAAAAGGGAGAAAAGTGTCACTATACTAATGAGCTAGTGTCACTGTGAGAGGATCCAGTGTGATATGGGAGGCGTTAGAACAGTAGGTCCGCGAATTCAATTCACTCTTCTCGGGAGTTATGTGTAGGTTTGTTTTTCCTTATGTAAAACGCTTCAAATAGGCGGAGGTTTACCGGGTCATTTTCCAATGTAATAATTTTGACTTCAGTGCCTTTGTAATCCTTGTTTTGGCACATAGCGATATGTTTGTTTACGGATGAATTTATGCTTCTGAGATGTTCTTTCACACGGTCGTGGATGAAGCGAGTGGTGCTCCCGATGTAGTCTTGGTTACAGTTTTTGCATGTAATTTGGTAAACAGCATTTTCTCAATAAACACAGGTTGGTATGTGCTATGGGGCAATGGTCTCTTGTGCATGTACGCTCCGTGATTCTGTGAGAGAGGGCTTTTCTGAGGGTGTATGAGTTGTGTGCGATGCGCACAGGTATTCCCTCTTTACGGAAGATGTTAGTGATCTTGTGGTCTAGCCGTTCGGAGATGTAGGGGATCTTCAGGTGTGACTATTCCCTCTTTTCTGAGTTGGGAGGGAGAGAGTCTTCGCGAAAGTCTTCGCCCCAGAACCGTCGCAGCAATTGAAGGCCACATTAGTGTTTTTATAGCTTTTGTTTAGTTTGTTTCTTTCCGTTTACCTTGAGTATATATGCTTAGTGTATAACAAACAGGGTATACCAACAAAAAGCTGGAATAGTATGCGCCTGTTGGTGTGATCTGATAGTAGAGTTTTGATGTTACAAATTTGATAACTTTCAGCCACAGAAGACTTTTGAAATGAAAGTGAATATTTCGGGAACTGAGCTCGTTGTGTTGGAGAATGTCAAGACTGTGGACACCTACGCGGTGGTCTTAAAGGTATATTCGCAAGTCTGTTATAATGTGAATTAACACAGATCAGTTGGGACAATTATGTACGTCATAGCGGTTAGCTTCTTTATTAGTCCTCTCAGTATGCTTGGTGCACTGAACTCCGTTTCGTAAAGTTCGAATTCGAGGCATAGCTGGAATTATTGTGGTGCGTATTAGGTAACGATACTGTGCTCTCACTGTACTTCTCTTCACCAAGCTGTACAAATAATTATCGACAACTACCATGGGAACCTGATGCATTGCTGAGGGAGGTGAGGGGGGGGGGGCAGGAGTTACTCGCCATGGACTAAAGGGGAATAACAATTGTCGTAATCGCTAAATGCTGTGGGTTTCTTTGCTTGTTTGCAGACTTAACCTACTTATCCCTTTTCGTTCAAGTATTTTTGTTGATGTTGTAAAGTATTGTGTGACTTAAAAGCTTGAAAGACCACAGTGACGTATTTGTAAGCGCATTCACTAGGGACGAAAAAAGTGTTGAGTCTTGTTTGCACATATTAAACCAACTTCTACCTGCTGCGTAGATAACAGCTGTGTTGGCATGGCGCCCGCATCTTCAAAGTCAGAAGTGGCTGTCATGCAGCATCCAAAGCCTGGAGATGTTCTCATGTGTTTTTTCCTGTGAAGAAGAGACTGCCCTGTCCATCATAGATCCAACATCTGCATTAGTTGAATTGAACAATTCCAGGAGACAGAAAGGACGCAGAAATGCTGGGTTGTTGGATATCACAGAGGAGCAGCTGCCAAGTTTAGAGGTAAGTGGCCTTTGGTGGTGTTAGCACCATTATTTTTAAACAAGATGCTAATTTTGTCGATGAAATCCTTGTGGAAATTTTCGTCAGACGTGCTGTAGTCCAATCTTGTTGTTGGTGGCTTTGCATGATAACGTCGTGATACAAGGAAAAATGCAACGGTCAGGGTTTCAAATTAGACGTTCATGCATTATTTCGATTCTTTTACACTGCTACAATAAGCTGAGTAAGGTACTAGTCTCGCCTTCAGACAGCATTTTGGGTGGTTATGTCCGGCGAAAGATAAAGGAAAAAAGTTAACGTTAAGATCAGGCTAGGAACTTAGAGATATTGCAGTATTTTTAAGATCATTGTTCCTCAGCTTAAATGTTATTGTTAGTTCGGACCCTTATTTTCCATATGAATGTTGTGGATCCCATAATATCTAAAATATCCAAGTGAGTATTGTGCTATCAAACGAAGCAACATTATTCGATACACCTGAGCGAAGAACCTGTAAGAACACCATGACTTGATTTGTTTCAGATCAACCTTCAAGGACCGCTTACCATGCGTGTGTCATATAACGACTACAAGTTGTACCTTAGTATCCTGGATTCTGTTTCCAAGCAACTGAATAAAGCTATTAAAAGTGAAGTCAATTTAAACCCTGCAGAGGAGGTTCCTGACCACGAGTTTGATGGTGAGTTTCGAGATAATTTTTGAGGCAGTTTTAATGCAGAGTATGTTAGGGCTGGTACTTTCACTGGGTCACTGTGTTCTGTTGTACTCATGATTAGTTCGTGAAATTGGAGTAAACCACAAACCAGTCATGAAAAGGTGTAAAGTACAAAGGACTCCTTCCTTGTTTTCAGTTCCCTAGACTAGAAGGATCTGCAAGCATTCCAGGCAGCTTTTAGATTAGGCTGTCTAAAAGGAAAAAAGGCCCCTGCGGCTGCATTATAAACTATTTTACAATAGAACGAGCAACTTTGAGACGTTACAACTGTGGACCAATCACACCTATTGACCAATGAGAGAGCGCTTATTATCAAAGATAGTTTATGTACTAACAGCGATTTTATGACGTAACAACAGATTTAAAAGGAACGAGGAAGGGTAAACATTAACACAGATCACTGCTGATAAAGTTGGAAAACTTGGATGCTGATCTGAGAATCATGCTATACGCTTATCTCTTGTTAACCAAGTGTACTGTGTTGCTCACCTTCAAGATCTCTTTGGCTTGGTGGTAGAGCATTTAAGCGAAAATATTTGAAGGTCTTAGCTCAGAATCTCATTGGGTACTCAGGTTTGGGAAAAGGTTTAAAATATCCCTCCGCTATATTTCCGAGTAGACTGCGATAGTATTTCCTTGGGAGATTCACAGCATGTTATGATTGAAAACAAGAGATAAAATCTTAAAAATTATGATTAAATTGAATTTTTTCCATTGCCACCAAAGCGATGTCGGTAAAACGTCTTCAAGAACTGGGCTTTAGACAAGCCGATTGTATCAGAGCTCTTCAAGTGACGTCAGGTCGACTAGAGGCTTCCGCCACCTGGCTTCTTGAGAATGCTACCCCTATCATCCAAGCACAAAGCTCCCAACAGCAAAGCAGTGCACATGGTTGGCAGTTTGCTGGTTTTGAGGTGAGTTAAACAGTGTGTACCCAGGCTTGGTGTTTCTTAAAGCCACATTGACGCAGCCATGGTTCACAAGTGCACTTGTTTAGAAAAGAAAAAAAATTGTATGATGTAAGTATGGACAGACAACTTGTTACCAACACGTTCTAAGAAAAACATGGGTGACCAGTGTCGAATTCCTTGATAAGTATTCTTATCAAGGTTTGTCAGCGTAAGCTGTTATGTGTACACCCTCCTTAAATAAAGTCGACTCACTAATTATTCTTTTTTTTTTCTCGGAGACGAACAATTTTTTTCCATTTATTTTTTGTGTGTCATATTTGGTTTTCAAAAATAGGCAAACAAGGGGAAAAGCTTTTGGAAGTAATACTTGCCGAACAAAACGCGCTAATTTTAACAATCGTGTAAAAGGTTCGTGATGCATTGGTACACGCACCCGGGACTTCCGTTGATGAGTTCATTCAGCTGAATATTTAAATTGTTCTTTCCGCCATTTTTTCTGTGCTTGTAAGTTTAAGTGAGCGATGACAAAATGCTGCGCTTTGTGAGCTTTTGTGAGGGTCTCAGTGGGGTGATGGTTTCAAGGCTAACGGTTAAAATTTTGGCCATTATAACGGCGATCGGTCGACATCAGGGACTTTAAGCAAAACACGACGGCTACGGCAACGAGATCGTGGAAAAACAATAGATCTAACTGGCGGAACAATAGCCCAGCACGTGCGTTTTAAAACTTTGTACATTTCGTAGCCGTCCTTTGCAAAACAACAACGTGAAATCACCCCAAAATTTGCATCGACTGCGAAGCTAAACCGCGGCGGCAAATTATTTTAATTTACATTTAGAACTCAACGCTACTTTTATGCGTTATGTCGAGTTTGAGGTCTGGCTCCCTGTGAGACGGTAAACACATGCAGCCATTTTCAAAATTCTAATTTTTTAATTGACGTCTTCCGTGGCGTTGCCGTCCTGACTGCTTAAAGTCCCTATCATTTCAATGGCTAAATGTTTTGGCAGTTTTACGGCTATCGGTTGACCCGATTGAGATCCTCTTCTGTGTACCTTAAGATAAAACAAAGAGCTTGCAAAACTGTCGCTGACATTAACCGTCTGGTGTGGTTTTTTTCCACGGTAGGTGCGGGCTGGTGTAGTTTGTATCTGCCTGATTGATGACTGTGGTGATAGTGACGTACCACTCATTGAATTCAGCGCTCAAAGTACGTTGGATTTTCCTACATTTTTTTACTATTGTTACTACTTTTATTCGGAGATTCCTTATTGTTTAGTTAACAGCTAGGTAAGCGTTGGGTTTGTAGTTTTTGAGACCTGTAATTAGGATTTTTTTACTCTACCACACTTCCCCCTTTAAATTGAATGTAAGTTCACTTAGTACCAATTATCCAGAGACTTGAAACAGTGCCACGTTTAACACATCCTCGGAGACCCAGGGGCAGTGGGTCGATTTCAAGTTAAGGCATGAAGAGCCCCTGGGGACATTGTCTTACAAGACTAGTTCCAAACGGTCGCAGTCGTTCTGNGAAACTTTTCACCTCAAGCAAATCTCCGTCGCTCGGCCCAAACAAACATAGCGAGCAACTGAGCTATTAGTCTATGTCCGTGTTACAACACACGAAAGGACTTCAAGGCACACTTCACTCTGATTGGGCAGAAAAACACAAAGATTTTCTGGCACCAATCAGATGGCAGAATGACTGCGACCGTTTGGAACTAGTCTTGTAAGACAATGTACCCAGTGGCTTTTCATGCCCTAACTTGAAATCGACCCACAGCCCCTGGGTCTCAGAGGATGCGATTGGGTGGGACCTCTGGCTCTTGAGTTGGCCTCTTTTTTTTTTTAATCAGTAATGTATCAAGTCCTAGAAGATTTATTGACTTCTTCTGCTGTAACATGTCTCGTGTACTACGAAACATTCCAGTGCCATTTCTTGTCTTTGTAAGCGAGTTTCTAATTTGCATATGAGATTTTTAATCCCTCTCATTTGGGAGACCAGGATTTGCAAAAGACACTTAACTTTATACTTTCTATTCCCATGTAGACTTGTATTTCTGGCATGACCTTCAGTCCACCGGTGATGGCGCGGCTCACTGTACTTTGATAGTGCAGTACTACAACAGAAATGTGTCAGACTGGGAACCTTTTGTGGAGCCGTGGAAGTAAGTATGATCATCTGGATTGCACTGATCTTGCCTAACATAGTTCCAACCGTTGTACGATAGAAATGTAGAAATGTAAATCAGAGCGATTGATCAGTGACGACGTGCACGATCAGGACGACAGCGCTCGTCCATTCCATAGGATCGCGCGGACGGTCTCCATCGTTTCCAAAACCCAGAGGCCTAGAACAGTTTAGACCCTTTCATCATTGGATTCATTCGATCTCCCCAATGGGCTAGGTTGTTAAGGGGTCCCTCTTCCTTTTTGAAGGAAATTTCAATTGAGTGTCGAAGTAGTCCGCAACTGCCTTGGTTTTGCTTTACTTCGCTATTTAATCAATCCAGAAAACTCGCGCCACTTTCTCAGTAAAGCAAAGATGTCTCTCTATTAATGATGTAGTCCGCTCTTTCTGTACTGTCCTTGTAATGTTTTTTTGGGGGGGTTGATTCCCAGAATGCTTTCGGCTTTAAATGACAGGCAATCTGTTCGTATGTTGCAGATGTCAAGTTCACTGGCAAGAGCAACGTAATACGCCAAATACAACAAACAGGTTTCTAGCCAAACTGGATGGTGAGTTGTGGAGCACTACTGTGAAGAAGTTTTTCGATTTACTTCTCAATGATTTGGGAAATCAGTCATTTACACATGCCTCTTTCCATCCTGACATCTGCTGACTGACGGGGGTAACATGTTGCTAACAGCTAATCCGTGGTTCGTGGAAGGAAAGATAGCAATGTACTCATATACATTACATTCTTAGAGATTGGTCATAAACCTGATTTCCGCGGAGTGGGCTAGAAACTATAAAGTCATGCTTAGAATTCTCTGTTTTATAAATGTAGTATTTGGTGATTCATTCAAAGACAAGAGTAAATACAAAGTGATAGATAGATAGATACATAAATAAATGAATACACATTCATTGCTTGCATTCACAGCGCCAGATCGTCTTGATGTCACAGTAACAACTACTCTGATCAACATGATCAAACACACTATTGCTAGTTGGTCTGAAGACTATTACAGACCTGATCCGTCGCCTGTATCAGCAGTGGCTTCAACAGAGGCCCCCAGCCTTCCCTCCAGCCTTCCCTCTAGCCGGAGTGACAGCAGACATGAAAGTCTGAATCAAACCACAAGCACCGAAAGTCCTCTTAGCAGTCCGACAGTAAGTAGGCCCGAGTCCAGCGCGTCCTTGTGGTCCACGGGATCAGGATTTCCTCGTCGGCGATCACCCTTCGTTCCTTTTGTGCTCAGAAATCAGACAGGTTTGTTTAATTTGTTTTCAGATACTGGTTTTGAAACAGACTACACTCTCTAGAGGGGTAAGAAAATCATTATTTTACTTCATGCACGGTCGCTGAGTGGTAGTCGAGATTAAGGAGTGCTATACAACGAATGCAATTATAGCGTCCAATTTGAATTGCCACTGCTCTGGACTCACTAGCCTCGTCTTCGCGTGGAAACACAAAAGGAGTATCACATGTATGAGAGGCTAGTGAATTCAGAACAATGGCATTTCAAATTGTACGTCATATTAAATTTGATGTATTTTTTTACGGCATACGTTCGCACCAAATTTTTAAAGGAAATTTGAGTTCTTACGTTATGTTTTTAGGGTGTGTGATGTGGTTCAAGACAGTTACAACGACTCCATCCAAAGTGATCTTGACAAGCACAGGTCAGGCACTTCCTGGTTTGCCTGGCCTCGAGTCAGGAAAAATGTCTGACTGGAGAGAAGTTTCCCCGGGGGGCGAGGCTCCCTTTGAGTTCACATCAGGAGAGAAGTTGCGGCACAGAGTAAGTGTGGATATGGGAATCGGAAATTCTTTAAATAGTTACATGAGTTGCTCAACAGGGGAATTTTCCTTTTCCCCTTCATTCGGCCTCTCGATAACCTCCTTAATAAATATGCTTTTACCCTCCCAATATTTCTCTGCTTTACAATTCCAAGATGGCGGCTCTATATTTCGCTTCGTAATGTTGACCATCGCTCAGCCAAGCTAAGAAAAAGTGTTTTCTTCTTTGTCGGGCTTTCCGATGCAAACTATGCATTTTGGAAAGATAGCATTGTTAGAGGGCTGTACGTTACAATCATTTTGTCAAGGAATCTATTAAGTTAGTACCTGATTACACCAGATCGATTTTGAATTTCACCACAATTGGCAGTGATGTCGCAATCTGATTGGTAATTTTGCTGTTGTTGAGTACAGACAACGCTGCGCGCGTCAACGTGTCACGCAATGGCCACACACTGAAAGAAGCGTTTTATTTGACGTCGGTGTCGCGGTAAAAACAAATTGACAGTGGTAAAGCATGGTCTTTACTCTTATCAAAAACGATATTAGTCGACACTGGTAAAAATGTGGTGGACTCGCGAGGCGCAGCCGAGTAAATGCGCAAACAAGTAAGTCCGCAACCATTGTCGATTTGATAAACATGAAATTGCGAGTTTAAGAGTTTGGAAAAGGTTTGAGAGAAAATTAAGGACGAATGCGTCGGAAGGCTTTTGTCGACAGTTGTAACCTAATAGAATTAACAACTAAAGAGAAAGTCGCAACAGTAAAACTTAAACACGAAGGCGCGCTATAAAAGGAGCCTTAGGTCCCACTGGACCATTTGTCAATCAACCGTCGTGTGATGTAGAACTCGTAGAGTCAAGTCAGCTTGAGCTACAACTACTCCAAAGCAGTGAACAGCGGGCGCATTCCTCAAAATTGTTTTATTTCTTCGTCACAATACAAGAATTTTTGAGATTTGTATTTCCTTTCTCCAATTGAAACTGTCTTTACCTCATTCCACCATGCTGGTGGAAGTAAACAGTAGATATCTCATTAGCTTCTTTTGTTCGTCTACCAGCCTTTAAATTTGACCCGCACACGTCAACGGTGAGTGACAAATGAGCCCAGGTCTTCCCAGGGAAGACTTCCCTATATAGCGCGCCTTCGCGTTTAATCAGGTTCAACGTTTTGTCTAAATATATGGGAAGAACAAAGAAGAGCCTCCCCAGAGATAACAGACTTGTGACTGTTTAACATATGAAAACGTACTTGGAGTTTGTCATATCGCTCTTGTTCTGGACGCTTTAAAGTTTAGTAGCTTCATATCAGAACATCGTACCAAATATAAAGGTTATTATTTAATCAGATGTTTTATGATATTTTCCTTATGCTAGGACACCCACGAGTTCAACATACATCAGGTTATTGTGCAAGTGGAGGGCTGGGCATCACTATCCCCAGTCTCTGTTGATAGAGTTGGTACATTCTTCAGACAAGCTCGACCTCAGAAGGTGGTCAATAAATCTCCGGTAAGACTAGTGACTAGTTCTTCGTCTGTTTTCAATTTACTTTGTTTTTCGAATTTTGAAAAGTAATGTGATCGACTAATCAACAGAGCAAGCGTTCAGAACTGAAAGATTACTTCTACTAAGACTGCTCTATTGAAACACAGTGGGCAAAGCCATGGCTGAACGGCTACCTGGACCGAACTTACCTACCTGGGTTCTAGGCCGGGTCAAGGGAATGTGTTCTTGGATAAAATACCTAAGTCTCGTGGCACCCTTTCCACTCTCGAGTAGAAATGGTTACTAGAAAATTGTTAGTGAAAGATAATTGAATGGAGGGGGCAACCTCTGATGAATTAGTATCCCGTTCAGTTGGGAAAGGTATACTCCTAGAAGCTTCGTGTTAGCGAATCCAGGAATAAGCCCTAGTAGGTATGCGCTACTTGGCCTGTAGGATTTAATTCTCAGCTGCTTCATTGCAGTTTTAATTTATTTATGGATCTTAATTGTATGTATTTGTTTATTTAGGGCGGTGATCTTCAGCCAGCACGGGTTGTATTTGATGTTAGTTTGGAGGGAAGAGCACGTAAAGTAGTCACTGTTAGATCTGCGCTGATGGTGAAGAATAAAATGGACGTACCCATGGAGATAAAGATGCAAGGACTTACATCTATGCAGGGTTAGTTTGATGAACCGCTCTTTGAAAAGAGCTGTGTCCCAGTATTGTTTCAAGTTGATCGAGAGGTTAGCTCATCAAGTCAAATCTGGGGTTCCGAGTACAGGTTACGATCTGATCTCAGATAGATTTGTTTCTGAGTTGTTCCGAGTTCATTTCCTCAACTGGTCAGCTTCAGCCTCAACTGGTCAGCCTTCTGATACTTTGGGTTTTCAGTTGAGTTATGATAAACATGAACAATATATTCTGACAAATTTTTGTGAGTTGCTTGCTAACCAGTGAGTACATTTCAAATATAAACATGTATATTTTAAATTTTCGTGTCATCTCATTGAAACAATTTCATTCAAAATTCTTGCCTTTCAGGGACTCTATCTCTTCCAGTCATCTCCCCAGAGTCTTCAGTTGCGATACCACTGCGATGTACCTCCTGGCAGCTTTACCTCCGCCCTTACGGGAAGGAGGTGGGGTTTTGTTCCCAGCCCATAGAATGGAGAAGCGTTTTAAGGAGTTATACTACGATGGGATGTGCACGGGAATGTTATCCTGTGTCCACCGCTAGCCAGTCTGTAGAGAAATTCAGGTAACGCTGTCCTCACCAGCTTTCCTTCTCTCGCGTGTTGTGATCACCCGAATTGCAACGAACCACATGTAAGGAAAAATAAATATTAAGATATTTAAAAGCATTTTCTATAAACTTGTCGGATTATTAAGTCATTATCGGCGTTTCCTTGTTTTTTTTATGTGCGTCTTGAATAGGTCTGGGAATGCTACTTCCTCTCTTGAATGAAACGCAAAATCATCGCAAGAACTCCTATGAACTAATTTTGGTCAAATTTCCATACCTTTTTGCTTGAACTTCTCGTTCAAGAAAGGCTCTGTTAGCTGGGAAATGTTCTTTGATCAATTGCCCACACCATTATTTGGTGTTTTTATTCAGATACTAAGGTTCGATTGTAAATGACAAAATGACTCAAAACCAATGTGACTACTTTAGTTTGAGGTTCAGAAAGGTCATGGCTGAAAAAGTTTAAATTTACTTCAGTTTCTTAACGATTTCTTGTGATGCTTCTTTTCTTTTAAACAGGTTCTGTGTGGCAGTTAAGAGGGAGGGCTACCCAGAAGACGTTTTTCATCCGGAGGGCATTCAAACGAGTGCTCTTAATGCGATGCCTCAACCAGGTCACACTCTGACAATCATGTACCCAGTGATGCTAGTGAACCTTTTGCCGTGTGAATTGAACTACCAGGTGAAAAATACACCTGCTAAAGGAAACTTGAAGGCGGGAAAGTCTGTTCCTTTGTATACTGTGAGTACAACCTGCCAGGTTTGTTGTTTTTATAAAACAGTTTTGTTGTTTTTATAAAACAGGTTTGTTGTTTGTAGAAAACCCCAATTTATCGCAAAGATCCCGTCTGGCGACTTTGAAATTAAATACCCATTTTAAATGATATCAGATATTAGATATCAGTGATACTGTCATGCTGCGACTCTAGAACGGAAAAATCAGGTACTGACAAGAAACAGAAATTAGAGGCAAACCAATTGCAAGCCGACTGAAGTCTTGAAATAGGAATGGCATGGGAATCATAAACGAACCTGACCATCAGTTAATGTTCCTTTAGTCAATTTTCTGGTTTTTTTATTTTCTACGTGAACAGGCTGATCCAGAGAGGGCTCTCGATCTCGGCATCAGCATTGAAAACTTCACATATTGTGATAACATTCGAATTTCAAGAAGAATGAGCTTTGTTGAACATCCAATCATCCATGTAGAACTCCAGGATACCAAGAGAAGATCTCTGATACTAAACGTCAAGGTTTCCATAAAACCAGATGGCTCATTGAGAGTAAGTGATAAAACGTCAAGCAAAAATCCCTTAGCACGTAATTAACCCTTTTAGCTCCCGAAATCTGATTAATAAGTCCCCTCTCTAGCTGATACATATTTCCTGGTACATTACTTACGAAAGTTTGGTATTAGATCAAGACAAGAACCTCTTTCTGATAAGTTTGATTACCCTTACTAACTGTTTACTGGATAATTTACGGATATTATAGGAAGAAGTTACAGGTTAATCTCTTCTGGGAATTAACAGTTAAAGGGTATTAGGCTATGATTGACAGTTTCAGTGCTCGTCAGTGGGGCAGGAAGCGATACTGAGAAGCATCTCAAGATGACCACCATACCTTTGACATTTTATTTTGTTAAATGTTTCAGCTCTTATGCGTGCTTTGTTTTTGCAATTTACTTGGCTGTAATCTACTGCACGGCTCCAAAATCTGAAATCTGTTTTTTCGCTTTTGTTGCTTAAATGTCTCATTATTTGTCCTCGATTCACTCAACTTTCGCGAGAAAATGAAATGTTAAATCTCTTGTTTTTCTTTAATTGTAAAATAAAAAGGCTCAACGACCTGGAAAAAATTTCGAATAACCACGTTTTTCTTGCTCCACCTGATTATAAATCACGCCCCAAACCTGTTAGACACACAGTTGAGATGTAAATATCCTACTAACCTCTTCCTCCCGGTGCTCCCTCTTCATATGGACCGCTGACTCAGTAAGTGAGAGAACTGTTGTCGATTTCCGTTGTACCACAGGTTTCCATTTATGCTCCTTACTGGATGATTAACAGGACGGGGATCCCACTTGTGTTTAAGCAAGAAGGTGTTCCTCATGACATGGCGGGCCAGTTTGACGAACACGAAATGGCGCGGAGCTTGACTCCTTTGCTGTTTTCTTTCTCTGACAGAGAGGCTGCCACAAGGTATGATGGGTAACCTAATAGAATGTCGGAACCTTTCATTGATAAGGGTGCTCTCACGCTGTTTAGCGATTTGGTCCTCTTGGGAATTTTATCGTTTATTTCCTTACAGGGTGATTTGCTATGAACCTGTTTTTGTGTTTTGCTAATATTCTAGTCGAATAAATGAAAAAGAATATCCTTATATTCTGCTTCATAGCTTTTCTTCAGCTAATAATTGATTGCTATTAATTTTTCTCGACAAGTCTTCTTTTGGTTTAATTAGAATTCATTTTCGAAAAAAAAGTTCAATTTGATATGCGTTTCATACTGTTGCTATTCTGTGGCTAAGAGTTCCTTAAAGCGCTTCTTTTCCCATCAGATGCCAAATGAGAATTGGTAGAAGCTATCAACCTGGAAGCGGGAAGCCTTTATGGTAAGTAATGGGCTCTAAGTAGAATACAGCCTCTCCGTTATCTCCTTCATGTTTTTTGAGTCACTATTACATGTATTTTCGACAATCATTTCCTGCTTCCTTGAAATTTGTCTTCTCTGCAGGAGTAATCCCTTTTCACTTGACAATTCACGAGAATATACACGTGTTCACGCCAGGCAAGGTGGAAGCCGGCCTGACAAGTAAGTTACTTGGTTTATTTGTCAAACAATGTTTTACTCTGTGTCATTCAATGAGAAACAATAACACAGTACATTAGTTAAACAGCAATCTGCTGCATGTCTATGCAGATTTCGGAGCGTCAAGGGGCATTGAAATGAGAGTCGTAGCAAGGCTTCTTCAAAGGGGGGGTCACACTGTGTCAAGCAGAGGGTACTCACCAGATTGTCAAGTCGACCTCCACGCCATTTTATTTTTGGATTTCATGTGACCTTAAGAAGGGGCTTACTTCAGGACACCTTCCCCCCAGCTACACCCTCGGAAATGGTTGTTTTATTACCTTTCCTTTCTTTCCTGATGCAAGGGCGTAGCCAGGGGGGTCCTGGGGTGCCCGTGAACCCCCCCCCCCCTTGGCTTACGCCCCTGTGATGTGTTCAGCACTGAACCCTTTCACCCCCAGAGTCTTATTAGCAATTCTCCTTACTGTCTGCAATACAATTCTTATGAGGTTACTCTGAAGAATTTGGTATTGGATCAACTAATATTCCCCTAAATGATATTTTTCCTAATTCTAATCACTTGTCTGCTCGATATCGTATTGACATTGTAAGGAGACATTCTGTCTTGGTCACTCATGGGAGTAAAAAGTTACACTGGGTTTACATGCCAAGTAGCTGCAATGTCTCGCCATGTTTGGTAATGTTACTCGTACGATCTGTTACATGATTGAAAAAAAACTGAAGTAGGAATTAAAGAGTTTTTGAAATAAATTAACTGTGTATTCGTTTATGACAATAAGATAAAGTAATTCCTAAACGAAGGAGTAGTGGTTTAAGATGCATTAAACAAAGGTAGAATTTAATATCTCAGCAAACTGTATGAAACTGATAAAGCATTAAAATGTACTTTTAACAATCTCTATCGCTTAGCCCAATGTTTGATAATGCAAGGTTTGATAAAACAAACGTGCTTTATTCGATAAAATTTTGAACCGATCTATATCGCAAGAAAAAAAACTTTTTTTTTTCTCCTGGTTATTCACACCATTCTTCTCACAGCATCAACACGATGCCATGGCTTTAGATATTATCGTCTTTCTCGTCACAATCACCTTCCAATATGGTTGTCTTAGAAACCACTAAGTGCTCTTGTCACATTAAATCCTTACATTACAGAACGAAAAAGAAAGGAAAAGCCGCAACCCCACCTCCTACGTCCGCATGCAAAGTGTCCAGCAGCGCTGTGAGCCGTCAGTTGGAGTTGCACGTGCAAGGCGCGTGCTTGTTTCGCGCAAACCTCCCTCGCGAATCCGTGTGCCTTGTAACTTCTAAAAAATGGTAACGTTATGCTGCGCTTTTGATTGGTTAAAGAATTGTTTTGTCATATTCCTATGGAAGCCTCAAAGTCAACTCGTTTATGACTTAACTAAGCAAGTTTTGGGACTGGACCATTCGTTCGAATTTCGTGGTTGAATTTCATCCTCTGAAAAAAAAAAGTTAATATCTTCGTTCTTAATCAGCGGAATTCAGTACATTAATAAGAAGTGGCAAATGAACTTTTGAACAAGAATATTTATAACCAAACTATTATGACGATTCATGACTAAGAAAACAATGAACATTGATGTGTAGTTTTTAGGAGGCGGCTTTTGCATCTGACTCAGAAAACGAGAGAGGAATAGACCACTTTCATAAATGGCGGCCGGATTATTATTCTTTTGTTTAAATTTAAATTGGCCCTTCTGGCCTCGTTCTCCAGTACAAAATTCAAAAGAATACATTATCTCAAGCGAGGCCAGAAGGGCTAATTTAAATTTAAACAAAAGAATATTAATCCGGCAGCCATTTATGAAAGTAGTCTATGCCCTTTGAGATCCTCTAGAAATCAAGATGGTTATAGCATAGTTAATAGAGGGGACTTATAGTTATAAATTAAGAAAGAAATGGGCTACTAAATATTTGATAATTTTAGGTGAATTAATGAAATGATGCACAATGAATAAATGATATTTGGTAGGAAATTAACTAAATTAGTACTTCAATTAATCAATCGGTCAGTAAACAGACAAACAAACAAATGAATGGGCAAACGAATAAATGAATTAAAAGATAAAACACTAACAGATAGATATTTGAATAAATGCAGAATTGTTAATATTACATTTCTTCTGCTAAATAGTGCTTATGAATGGGAATTATCCTAAAACCGATTGCATGGTGTCTCATGGTATGCCATGATGGAATGGATAAATAATACGGTCACGAAACTAAACTAATCGACACCATTCCCTCAGGAATGTTTGTGAGATCTGCTGTACTTTTTATATTGACGATCAGCCTGCATCTCTTTACCGCGTCCCACCTGAGGTGGGGTCTTCGCTCAGTGTGTGGCGCCTGGAACATAAACCTTCCTGATTCTATTTCTTTGATCCTCCCAGTGTTGTTGCGACCCCTAGTTCGTAACAGGACCATTCGTCAGGGGATGCAGTCAGCTTTTATTCCTGGAGACCGTGAGGATATCACGCCATTTAGTATACATACACCAATGAAATACTAGAATCCTTTCCGGTTCTGAAATGCTGCGCGCAAAGCAGGACCATTTCTACTTTAGCAATAATGCTGATTTTATCTTTAATTTCTCTTGTGTCAGACAAAAAAACTGTTATGAAGAGATATTGCTTTGTGTTTATATTGAATATTGAAATAGCATCTCAGCACGCAGGGGTTGAGGGCAGTTGAGCTCTTTTTGTATGTTTTTTTAATTACTTTGATTTGAATTCTTCAATGATGTCCATGTAATAAACAAAATATTACATGTCTGCTTGTGGATACGAAGTTATGTTCTCGTTTTGAACATATCTTCCAGTCGAAGATAAAACTCGTATCTACACTCAGTGATGTGTTATCCACTATTTACTTCTCTTGATTATTATGATTTATTTGTATTTACGATGTTTTTTTCGAGGTTCTTTAACTATAAAGTTCTTCCCTTGACCAGTTTGCCTGAATTTGTGAGATTTTTGAAGAAGAATTAAAATAGAAACAAACAAAGGCGAAAACAAAGCAAGTGAAAACAGCAAACAAACAAAGCATGGACGGGTAATGGTAACCCTAATGCTTGGGTGCGAAAGGTCTTGTCAAATCAACATTCGTTCAATACGCGTCATTTTGTTTTCAGGGTGTACGACATTGGTATTGACGTGCGTTTTGGCCAGGGGCGATATCGTGATACAAGAATTGTTACTCTTGCCACTCGATATCAGCTGGAAAACAGGACTCAACATACTCTAGCTTTTTCACAGAGGCACTTCGTCAGAGAGCAGGTAAACTTTTTTTTTCTTTTTCTTCGTTTTGAAATTGCCTCGTCTGTATTAATTGAGTTTGCTTGATTGTTTCCATTTTCGAATTGTTATCACATTTTAAGGCAACTTTCGAACGGCAAGGTTACGTTTTGGAATAGGGGTAAGTTTCTAAAGAAACTGTGGTGCTGCGTCCGTGTGGCCGGGAATAACAAGATAATTAGTTTTATCAACTTAGTTGATAATGCAGATTGGCTATTCGATTGGCCACCGCAGAGTTCTAAAGCTGACGTTTGGGGCGTTAGCCTTCCTTTAGAGTCTTTTACATTATAAACTCAGCTGATAATGCAAAATGATCTACTTTTTAGAAAGTTTGGAGGCTATCTTGAAACTCAGTTTCTGGAGCATGCATCTCCTATATTGATAAACAGTCTGTTTGCTCTACTGTAGGAGGCAACACACCCAAATTCTCTCTTTTGTTGCGTCTACTCTATAGGAAGCAACCAACCCAGAGGGAACACTCACTGCCATGCCAGGGGCTCTAGTGCTTTTCCATTGGGCCAGAACAGACTTGGACCAACTTTTGTGTATCAGGTAGAGGACCTTATACCTTGGTTCTTTGTTTGGACCCTTTTTATTTGTGTTTTTCTCCACGTGAGTTTCTGATATCATTGCATGGACAGCGAGGTGCACAATCAGCAGCAGTTGTCTGCAACGGATTTCTAATTCAAGGCTTTTTCTTTTTTTCTCTGTTTATTTTTTTAGGTTAAATGATGTTTCTCACTGCAAGTGGTCTGGAGGCTTCAGGATCGATCAGGACGATTCTTTTCATATTAACATGAGGTACATGCTAGTCTATCCTACTTGGGAGATAGGGTGTAAGTGTTTCAGGGCCATTGTTTCTACCTGTCTATCCATCTCTCTTTCTGTAGTTGTATCTGTCCCTAAGCCTGTTTGGATGTCTACCGGTGTGTCTGATTGTCTGTGTGATTGTCTGTCTGATTGTCCGTCTGATTGTCTTTCTGATGGTCTGTTTGTCTGTTTGTAGGTTTGTCTGTGTTAGTGTGTTTGGCTGTCTGCCAGTCTGCCTTGTTGCCTGTGAGCCTCTTTGTTTCTATCCAGCTGTTGAGTTTTGAAAGTATGTAGTAAGCTTGTGTTCACTATACGTCAATGTGCTTAAGAAGTCGTACGCAAAGCCTCTTTCAGTCATAAGTTAAGTATGTTGTACAATGATAGAGAAGCATCGGCAATCTACTTGGAGAGATCTGTTATTACATAGAGCGTGATGATAAACTTTTTCCGAAAAAAGAGTGTTTTTTTTCTGTAGGAGTCTGAATGACTGTTCGCTGTTTGTGAGAGTGGAGGTGGTGCAAAGAGGAGCAACATTTCACGTTCTGTTCACCGATGCCTCCCAGCTTCCTCCTCCGTTCAGAATTGACAACCTGTCAGAGGTGTGTCTCGTGGTCACTGACCAGTGGCTCATTCGTGATTATGATCTTCCTCCATACTTCAGCTTAATTAACACTATTCATTTCTTAAGGTGCTAACAAGGAGAATTTGTTTAGAAATCAAGAGTTTCTTTAGTTGGTGATCTTTTGCTTTATTCTCCTGACCCTAGTGTGAGAGTCATGGGTGATATTATTGTAAGAAGAAACTAGATGCCTGTCTCTCTTAAGGGTTAAAGGGTAAGAACAATCAAAAGCTTCCGCAATTAGCTTCTTCGGCTCAGTTCCATTTCTGACAACCAGTGGAGGGCTAAAAGGTTCTTTCTAGTAGGAATAACGTACTCGTTTTACTGCAGTTCTGACATTTTCCTTCGGTAGACTATTTTTAGTCATAAACACTACTACCGAAATCCTCTTGGAATTACCTTTCCCATCTCGAAATCACCGTTTCTGTGCCTAATTGACTGGGCAAAGGAAGTGAAATTTCCCTATAAAGACATTGTAATCAGAAAAAATACCAAAGGTTACCTAATAAAAGAAAGCAACATAAAAAAAAGAAAAAACAATTATTAAAGGGTCATCGCATGCTTTTCAGGTGCCGATCACTTTCTATCAGTGTGGAACCGAAGACAAGACAAAAACCGTTCTTCAGGCAAAACAATCAGGTATTGTTAGAGAAACGAAGCTCTGTGAAGCCGCTGGGTTCGTAGACAGAATTCTTATCTCGTTGGCAGATTGTACTATTTGTGAGGTTCACATATGACAGGCGATCTCGCCCGCTTCTCGATTAGTTCTCTGTACCTTAGTAGCTCATCCGACCGCTGAATCGGAAGGTCCTTTGCATGACTCAGATTTTCTTTCTTTATTCAAGACCAAACCTAAATATGTACCATCTATTATAACCTTTCTCTCTTGGACACCCAGAGACTGGTAACTACTAATATAGAGAGAGCTTTTGCACTACTAATATAAAGAGAGCTTTTGCACTACTAATATAAAGAGAGCTTTTGCACTACTAATATAAAGAGAGCTTTTGCACTACTAATATAAAGAGAGCTTTTGCACTAAATATTTTTGGCCAGTAGCTAGGAATGTATTACCCCTCAAGATAAGACCTCGAATTTTCTCTTGGTGGTGCTATTTCAATCACATACCAGAGCTAGGGAAAATATATTTTGACGTCTGTCTCAACCTGAGAAAGCAAACTATCGAATGAAAACACTTCACCTGAAAATTGAAGATTTGTTTTTGGTTTTGCTCTTTACTGTATGTTAGCTACGAATTTAATCGTACTCTATATTGACTTTTTTTTCTCTCTATGAAGTGCCCTACTCATGGGATGAACCCACTCTGTTACCTGAGCTGTCTGTTGGGGTGATGGGAGGTGGATCTTTCACTCGCTATCAAATGGATGATCTTGGAGGAGGCGATAGGCTCTACTATTACAATCCCATATACGTCGTTTTTACTCATACATTTGCTAGGTAAGTTCAATTTAGTTTTGCAAAGGAATTCCACCTTCATCCGCAGGACAGTTACATTTCAAATGTGCTAACTGAAGTGAGAGTCGCTCTGCGTTAAGGTTAAGTTTCTTGCTGGGTTACATTATTGGATAGTTACGAGGACATTGGATATTCATCAGGAACATCGCGAAATTATGAACATGAAAAAAATTATGGCCTTTCAAGATAATAGTTCCAGTGACTACTGAATCATTGTGTCAAGGATATTCTTGAATTGTAGAAGAGTGAAAAACGTGGAAATGTCTGCTTTTATCGTGACTCGTATTCATTTTATTTACATGCTTATTCTCATTTGTGGAACGATTTTTCAGCGTTGATGGACACATTTGTGGCTCAGTTCACCTCAAACCTGAATTAGCAGAAGACGAATCGTGCCTTGATATGAGAGAGCTTGTGTTAGATGTTCCTCAAGGATCAGCGGTTCTGCTCAGAAGAAAGGTGCGAATTAGATAAGGAAAGGCCTATAAAAAGGTGAAGCTGATTTTTTGTCCTTTTTATAACGTTGTTAGGTCACAGGCGACAGGTATATGTAAATTAATTGATACGCGTTCTTGTTATGGGAGGGGGGGTGGATTTTAAAGTTGGAAAGCAGAAAAACGATGACGCTTATGGCTTCATTGCGTATGAGCCAATTAAAACTAGATTGTTGGATTCGTAAGCACCCGGAAGGACTTTAGGACTGGCATTGTGATGGGTTGCGTCTGCTTGCGACCTTGATGATTCAGTTTTCACTAGATCATAAACATCGAGCTCGTAATTAAAGTCGGGAGAAAGTGGAAAGGCTTCGACTATTCTGACTTCGATTACTTCGAGCTTCAGGCTTGCCTTACGAACCCAGTTTTCGATTTTCGCTGGGTGGTAAGCGCTCCCACGCTTAAGACTCCGTGGCTAATGGCTGATGGAAACCAGCCTTGATACTCATCAACTACCCAGTTGACAGAGTTTTAAAATTATCAGGAGAATTTTTTTACTTATCGCGCTGAGTAGTAAAGGAGTTGACAAAGGCTTCCTTATCCAACGGTGTTTCACCCGTCACAGGAACCCCACAAAAGATCGCAGCTTTGGCGACTGACTGGCGCGGGACAGTTGCGTCATGAAGGTTCCTCCCCTCCCTCCGCGAAGCCGTCGTCGTCCAATGGTGGAAGAGTGTTGGATATTGACAGCTTGGCTCCACCCACCTGTGGCAAGTACGTGCGACTCGTGCTGAGTAAATGTAACCCGAGGCGAGCGCATTCACAGAAGTGGTCCTTCACAGAGGTAAAAGAAACACTTTTACATTTGTCAGCAGGTGTTGCAACTCTAAGTGTGTCGAGTTACTGTTACAATATACTGTTACAATATACTCATACAAACAGAGAATATAAAAGATCCCTTTTGTCCTAATTTCTTTTTCCAAACTGTGATTTTTAGATTTTCTGAATTGCTATGAGCAGTCTAATACCCTTACGTTTGCCTTCTTTAAATCGTGGATGCACTGGTTTTCATTCGTCTTCATTCTGCTTTTGATGGGAACCTTCTCTTAGTTTAACACAAAAGAGAATGGGAGTAATTGGGACGGTTTTTTTCTCTTCCCTTGTTGTCACTTGTAATCTTTATTTGAATCTTACTCCTATTGATGATAGGACAATCGCATGAAATGTGATCTTCCTGGATTGTATGTCCAACCAAGAGGTGGTTTTAACGGATTAAGAGATGGTAAGAAAATTAAGCAAATGTTCAAGAACGTTCAGAAACTCTCAATATTACTGGAACTGTGTTAGGACAGTTATTTATTTTGGGGGTCCAGACAAGGATCGTATTAGGAAGGGTTTATAAATTCATTTACAACTAAAATATGAGATAGTGCCCTTTCTTTTCATTTCTCGCTTAGCCTAAATGAATGCCGTATTCGGCACGCATGTCGCTGTTTGCAATAACTGTAATACTTAAGAAGGGTTTCAATACTCAGTACTGTTATATCACCTAAATTTATAGCAATACTGCCCTATTTTGCTTGTGTCTCTGATTTAGGGGAAGGTTATTGACCGAGGCATTTTAGGGGGGGTGGGGGGATTTATTTAGCACTGGAAGACCTAGCCGTGAGGTTGTGGGAGAAAGTTGCGGGCGGGGTGGGGTTATTGGGTCGTGTACCCTTAGTCCTAGTAGTTGACAAAAAGGAGCGCAGATATATGAACTTAGTAGATAGTCTGCTAGCCAACGAGTTCTCTCCTGAAGGAAAACCATCGGATTTTGAAATCAGAAGGTCCGGGGTTCGATCCCTCATGGGATATTTTTTTGCTCTCGTGAGCAAGCAAATGACAATTTTCCTTAAGGGGCGATGTCTTTTTCATTTTAGGTGTAGATGCAGTGCTTGGTCCTGCGAACATTACTAAAGAGGATCAGATTCCCATCGAACAGTGCATCAGCACGTGTAAGCTAAGGCCTGGCTCAGGCTGCCTTGGAGTTAAGATTCTGGCAGATGGTCCAACACGAGTGCTGCAGATCACTGACTGCTTACAGCAGGTGAGACCAGTAAGGACTCGTTCCTCTTTGAGTGTCAGGGAGCGAAAGGATTCCTTTAAAAGCGTGAAATTCAAGCAATCCCCCATACTTCAGGGGAAGCATAACCAATCCGTTTCAAACCTTGATGAAGACCAGCCAATTTTTTACTAAAAGAAAGATGTTAGAGGTTCCCAGCTTTATTTAAAAACGTGTCCACTATTGTTGCGCTGAGAGCATGCCCCTCTACAGATTGCCGTTGTGCGCGTGATTGAAAAGTATATCTTAGCTTTTAATGAGTGGGTTCAAAACCTGCAAACCCTGCCATTTTAGTGAATTCGCCGCCTCCGTTTGATCAAGGGCTCGTTAATGCTGGGCTGATTGCGTCAATAAAAATTGGAGCTGAACTCAAAGCTTCAAATGGAAAGTGTATGTGGCAATTGCTGTTTTAAGGCTGAAAAAATAGCTGAGTTACTCAGCTTCCGATGAGAGGCCTAAGCGGGTCGTTCGTCTTGGCGATGAAGGAGGAAGGTGTTTCCTTAACGATTGAGAGTTTTTGTAGCTGTTGATCAGTACCATTATTCTTATGCCGTAATGTTTGATTCAGTGCGGATACTGAGGAGAAATTGGATGCTAATCACTCTTGAGGATTAAATAGTTAAGAGGAACCTTTTTGGGGATGGTCAGCAGTAACCTTTGCAGTGTCTATCTTAATTATGTTGCTCTCATTAATAGTCTGATGACGAAGCCGAGAAGGAATGGATGCTAGTCGAACGGAAAGGTGGTATGAGGCAACCAATTGTGAGTAGCCTGGGTACCGAAAGGGATTGCTCAGCGCTTGAAGTACAAGTTCGCTTGGTTGGAGGGATTGGTGTGTCTGTTATTAACTCTGTGCCAGAGGAGTTGGTGTTCATAAATCTGGAACAAATCGAGGTAATTCGTAATAGAGGTTTTGCACAGCAGCCATGTTGGATGGCAGGAACAATAGATTTTTCCATGGGAAAAACGTTTCTTTCTTATGCAAAATATTTTCATTGTTCCTGCCATCCAGCATGGCTGCTATGCAAAACCTCTATTGCGAAGTGGTGCTATGTTACATTCAGATGGTGACGTTGTGTCTAAGACAACGAATCATCTGGATTATTTACTTCATTTAACCGAAGGCAGTTGTCTATTACTGCTAGTCTATTGTATATTGTTATCGTTAGATTTAGCTCAAATCCAGTTTAATCCTAACTATACTCACTAAAACCCACGGATGAAAATTGCTGTCATTAATCAACAGTTAGCGATCGAACTCATTGGGAGCCAAAATCTAAAGATTGGCTGAAACAGTTAGAAATTACGGAAAAGTAGTTCGAGTGTATTTTTAAAGAAAAAGTTAGTCATATCATTTTGGTCAATCGATCGATCTAATTTTTTATTTTCTCTTTCAGGTGGACTACTTAAGAAGCTCAAAGCTGGAAACGCTCGAAGGCAGTATTGGTCGTATACAGGTGTGTGTTCTTTATTATCGCGCACCAAAGTAATAATTTATCTAAACATTGGATTACATGCGGTAATTTCCCACACCAATCTGTCATTACTTACTTCCGAGTCGTGGCGGTGCTTTAACTTACGCATCCTTCACGTTTCCGGCAAGAGATCAGATGTCGATACGTTTTTTCGTAAAGTTACCAACGTGTTTTGACCTATCCTTCCTTGGAAGTCATTCGCTTTCAGCCAAAAGGCAAAAATTTTAGATTTGAATACCCTCGCTAGTGCTTATAGCACAAGCCGGCCATTGAGTTTGAGAAAATCAGTGAAACAAACAATCTATAATTGAAAGTTATCTCAGGGATTTTTTTCCTATCATCCGCGCCCGAGGAAAAAGGACTAGCATCTTTTTTTTTATTACAGCCGCGCTCAAAATTGAGCATATTTCTTCATTGATATGTTAAGATCACATAACCTTACATCCATGCCACTCATTTTAATTTGTAGATCGACAATCAAATGTTCGCCAGTCAGCTTCCGGTGCTTCTCTTCCCCTCCATCCCTGAAAAAGGCTCCAAAGAAGAGACCCTGTCAAAACAGCCCTCGCTCCGTGTGTCAGCCTCCAAAGAACCCTGCAGACTTCCAAATGTGGAAATATTCAAGGTCAGTACATAAAGGATAAAGTGTTTGAGGTTTACGGGTACGTCAGTTTGACCAGTCAATTTCGAATCTTGATCATCTCTTCAGTCTCTTTATGTCTCCTTCTGCAAAGATTTTTGTTACAAAATATGAATGACAAAGGATTCAAAATACATCTAGCCCTGCTGTTATTTTTCTTCGTAATAGAGATTGCAATAATTTGTAATTTCTTATGCATGTTTCAGTGTGACACTTCTGCATCAGTAACATTGATTGGTTGAAAAGCGGTTTGAAGTTATCATTTGATTAATCTTTTAAATTGCCTATTCATTTATTTGTTAATTTGGGACAGGCACTTGATGTTTCACTACGAAAGATGACTCTTCAGATCGAGGAATTGTTGCTGCTCAAGCTTCTTCAGTTCTTCGGTTATGTCCAACAGGATGATGACATTGCTGGAGCAAACCAGGAGGAAGACGAGTGCCTTTATGCCACACAAAGGTTTCCTATTATTTGTATTCAGTTCCATTCATTGAAGCCACTAAGCATTGCTTCGTTTCCAGAAACCTCACAGAAACGCGAACGAAAACGAGAATTACGCTAATGCGGACGCGAACGGAATGTAACGCGAATGTAAAGACAAATGCAAACACGAAAGCTAAAGGTGAATCAAAAGTAAAAACAGAGCAAGAGAACATCATTGGATCTTTAAACTCGGGGTACATTTTCTTAGATTGATGAAGGGGAAAATATGATAGATGTCTAAACTTTTGGCTGCTCTGGGTCCTTTCTCTGAGATTATTCAATGGGGAAATGTGCTAGATGATAAAAATCCTGGCTTTCACACTGCGCCAAGTTGGCTTGGCCGCTACCAGCGGATTCCTTCAAAATACATATTTTGTTTTACAAATGCGTCAGTTGAAAACATCAGTGATTAATGTTTTGAATCCCGAATTGAAAGGAATGTAATCTGATAGGAAGATTCGTTTTCTCCGAGTCTTTGAGAGTACCCAATATGGATATAATTTCCGACCACATTTTTTGAACACTTGCGCCTTCCCACCGCCTTCCCAGCCCCTCTCGGTGTCAGCTTCCGAAATACCTTAAACAAAAAAAAATTAACTTTAATAGCTATCACAATTACTGGTAACCCAGTAGGTTACATTGTGGGCTATAAACAAATAATTCAAATTGAACATAACATTGTTAAGAATCCCAACTGGCCGGAGGCAAACCAGTTGGCTATTTACAAGCATGGAGAGGATTTGAACTCGGAGCCACCGTGAAACAAATTCAGGTAGTGGTCAGGGCGGGACTCGAACCCGGGAGCGACGGATTGCGAGTCCGACACGCTGACCACTCGGCCACGCTGCCTCCATTTGAATGGAGAGAGGCAATAGAAGAACTCAAGTTGTATTCCAAAGAGGTATCCTAACTGACTACGTCTGAGAGCGTAAGTCGTGTTAATATAAAGCAAGGTGGTAAGAGTGAATGTTGCCTTGATAGGCCGACATTGCCAAGTTCATCTGGTTCCTTAAAGAGGTATTACTTCGAGCATGTTCAGCTGAACTCCACCCAAATAAAGCTGTCTGTATCCAGTGCTGGAAGGCTCCCAGAAGATCTTCAGAGTCTGAAAAGTAGTCTGGGGCTGATTCTGGTGAACTTAGAGGATGCCACAGTTGATTTAGGTTGGTGTACGTGTACTTAAAGACGAGAAAAAATATCCTGTTCAGTTTGATTTTTCTCTGAGTGAATTGAACTTACTTTCTATCCTTTCTATTCATACTCTCCACTCTAATCTCTCTACGTTTCCAGTAGTAATGACAAGGAAAATTTGTTTGGCAATGAGGAGCTTCTTAAATTAAAGATAATTTCCTTTATTCTCGTGACCTTTATAATTGAATTAAGGTTGATTTTGCAAAGAGAAATACATATATCTTATTAGACGTTTTGTTGTGTAGTATCGCTGAGTATTTTTACGAGTTGTGCCGTATTTTGACGAGACCGTGGGGCTCGTCAAAATACAAACAACTTATTATACAAAATACAACAATTTATAATCCAACACGCCAAATTGTTATTTCAGTGCGGGCGAATTTCTCGGATATTTCTGGAGTACAAATATCGCGTGATATTTGTACTCGTCTCGCGCGTTATTTGTACTCTACGAAGCACAGTTGGATAATAAGAAGTCAACTTTGCTAATGATAAACAGTTATCTGGCTGCGGTTCCATTTTGCATGTGGAGAATAATTGTTTTGGTACTATTGCCCAGATTGTTATCGTATTAAGTGCATTGTCTCTTATTTACCCGAGTAATCTCTAGAGTAGTTTACCCCTCCACCATAGAACCCACCGGCATGGCAGACCCAATTATTACTTTTTTATTTTAGAATCTTTCTCTCGATCCCATCCGTTTGACACCTTGTCTTCTTACCTGGACTCCATCAGCAAACATTATACTGAGGTATGTATTGCACACGGTCCAGTCTTTCTCGTAAATTTTGTCGAATGACTTTGCTGAATCAAATTTCTATGAGGGTGTGTTTTTCCCGATCGAGTGCCTGATCATTATGAATGCCCTGCATTGTGGCTAGATTATATCTAACCACCATTCTGAAGATGAACTACTTCTACGTAGTCAAACAGACAAACAGAATTTATTGTTTGATGTAGATTATACTTTAGGTTAAGACATACTTTAGGTTAAGACAGCAGCCTTTCTTCTTCTTCAAGACTCTGAAAACTTGTCTGAAGGGATTTTAGCAAGATTCAAGCCATTGCAGGAGTAGCAAATAGGAGCAATTCACAAGACATCTTGAGAGCTCTTGCTGCTTCCTAAAACTGTTGTTGAGAAAAGAAAAAAAAGGGAAAGGAATGGAGATAAATCACTTGTTTTTCTTTTTCTTTTGATTGCATAAAGGAAATCTTCAGTCAAAAAATAGCTATCGTGGGCTCAGTCGATTTGCTCGGAAATCCCATGGGACTACTCAATGACGTGTCATCTGGCCTTGAGGGACTGGTAAAGAGAGGCAATGTCGGAGGATTATTTGTAAACGTGGCTCACGGAGTCTCTGACTCGGCAGCTAAGGTAAGTACGGCCAGCCGTCAAAAGAGGCCACTCAAAGATCCCTATCTTCGGAAAACCCTTCAGACTTAGCCACTATTAACTTTTTACGGTTGTGTTTACTCCTATTTTATTTGTGAGATAGCCATCCTTTCTTTTAGCGCCCGTAATGAGATTCGGAAAGAGTTTGGGAAGTCCATCGGCTTTATTTCTACGGTTGTGAAAAATTTGAGTTATGACCATGCGTAAGGTAAGCTTGAGCGTAGGTTAACTTTGAAAAGCCTCCTTCCTCCCACAATAACGAAGCTATGCTGTCCTCAAGAATGACATTCCGCAATTGCTTGAGGACAAGTGAATAAAGGGGGGTAAGTTTCTAAAGAAACTGTGCTGCTGCGTCGATATTAACAAGGTAATTTGGTAATATCAACTAAGTTGAAATTGCAAATTGGCCACCGTAAAGAGTTAAAAAAGCTGACGTTTGGAGCGTTAGCCCTTCGTCAGAGCGAATGGCGAAGGGCTAACGCTCGAAACGTCAGCTTTTTAGCTCTTTACGGTGGCCAATTTACAATTTCAACTTAGTTGATATTACCAATTTACTTTAGGACAAAGTTCCTCTAAAGTAAAAGTTAAGTTGTACTCCATGTGCTTTTCAAGGTGTATAGGTAAACCGATTGAGTGTTTCTGCAGATCACCGGTTCTCTGTCTGATGGTTTGTGGAACGCATCCATGGACAGTAAATTCCAGGAGAGCCGTGATGCAATGCGGGCTGAGAGGTTTAGCAGCTCCAAAGATCACTTTGTGGCTGGCGTAAAAGGCCTTGGCATGGGTATTGTTGGTGGACTCACAAGCATTGTAACACAACCAATAGAGGGAGCACATACTGCAGGACTCTCAGTAAGTTTTCTTACACATCTGGTCATACACAACGAATATATGAAATTCATATATCTGAACTGCGGTTATGGAAACGTATTTGTGCACGATCCTCGCAGTAAAGAGCACTATTTAAGCAATAGTGAAAATCAGTCCTGAAAAAATTCAGGCCTGTACGGGATTCGAACTACTGACCTCTGCGATACTAGTGCAGCGCTCTACCAATTGAGCTAACAAGCCAACTGGGAGCAGGTCATCAAATTAGTCCGACATAAACCTGTAAGATGATAAATCAAACACAACGAATATATGAAATTCATGTATCTGAACCGCGGTTACATCTGGTCATGTGTTGTTCTGTCAGTACACAATTTGGACCCAGAGTTCGGTAAATTTGCTAGCAGTAAATGTGCTATTTATAATTGTGCTATTTGTAATTCTTCGTGGGAGGAAGGAGAAGATTAAACGTTCAGAGCGATGAAACGCATGCCTTAAGGACAAGGGAGCTTTTGGGAGGTTGAATTCCTTTATTAAATGTTTTTGACTGACAATTTCTCCTATTGGTTGACCGCTCAATCATCAAATGGCCAATATGTGAAGTGTTACCGTGACCTCGCTTCTACGTAAAGATACAATAAATTTCACTCTTGTCAGAAGAATTGTAGCTGTTGTAATTTCTGTGATACTTTGCTCCAGGCAATCTTATTTCAGTGTAGAGGCTTTTCGTTCAACCTTGTCATTGCAACACACATTTCATTGATAAAAACGAGTGTCAGTTTCACGTGATGTTCCGTTGGTGGTTTGGTAATTGAGCGCGACGAGCGACTAATCACTTAAGCTACATACGCGTGCGATGCTGTTAGATTTTTTTGTATTCTATTTTAGCGAATACAAATAAGATAAGATAAGATAATGACTTTATTGATAACACAATTACTGGTAGAACCAGTAGTTCTCATTGTGGCCCAGATATGGTCTTTCAACGATGAATAAATCGTTTTTTCTTAGGGTTTCATTTCTGGTATTGGTAAAGGGATTGTGGGAACAGTTACCAAACCAACCGCTGGAGTTCTGGACTTTGCGTCTGGGGCTGCAGCAGCCGTTCGCGGACAAGCGACGCGTAGCTCCAGATATCTCCCGCCAAAACAAGCGCGCTTACGAAGGAATTGTTTTGGACCAAGTGGTGCTATCCCGCGGTTCTCCTCGACGCACGCTGAAGGCCAGGAAATCATGCTGAAGTTAAATGAAGGCAACTTTAACGAAAAGTAAGGCGTTTTCATTTACTTAACAGATTGAAAAAGGTTGATTTTGAAATTGATTTGTCATAATGTCGTAAACTGTGAAGTTCTACTCGAGGTTACCAGCGGCAGTTTTAGAACGAATTATCTTTCGACTCTATTTTGGTCCCCTCTTTCGGACATGAAAAATTAGACCAAAATTTAAAGGCAGAAGTATAATTTTATAAACAAAACTTGAGTGGTTATTTCTAGATAACTTACCTGGGCTTGTTTCCTTAGGTTTGTATTATCGGAGTCTGTCAGACGCGATAAGGAAGACCGCCTTAAAGCCATTGTCACTACAGAGGCAGTGTACTTTGTGCGAGCCCGTGGGACACCCTCACCGGAAGCTATTGTTCTCCTGGTGCGGTTTTCCGATCTCTTTGTTTGCCAACCTATTCCAGGTGGTAAGTAATTTTCGAGGTGGGTAGGGTGGGTGAGTTGACAGGGAATTGTTTCAAGCAACTTGCACCAGGTAGTCAAAAGGGTGTCAGTGATCTTTAGGTATTGCTTTTAAGATTTGTGTACGTGAAGTCTGCAGAAAGAGGGAGCATGACTTTAGAGAGCTGGATTTAAAATCTGGACGTCCCACTTCGAAATGCCTTACTCCAACACTCGATAGGCCATTCTGAGTTCTAAACGGCCTCACTTTCCAAACAAAGCCAAGTGAAAAACCGTTCTTGTGATTATTAGTTTTGTTTGTATGATAAGAACAGTCCACTTTCATATCAAAGGCTTCGTTGTTAAAAAGAGGCTTTGGGCATCTGGGTAATGGCCCGTTGTATTTGTTCCTCGCTTGTGTTGAGTTCAGATCTTTGGTGCTATTTAAATAACCAACTGATTTGCCTCCCATTAGTGAGGATTTTAAATTTTTAGTTTACAGTTTATTTCTTTCGTGTATCTGCCATGTCCACACCACATGGGGCTGCTGATTACATAAACAATTCAGTTACGTTTTTTCTTACACAGTTATTTTTGTTGTTTATCAATATTTTTGTACGAAGGGTGTTTTTGTGAAGTTAATAACACCAACCGCAAAAACACGTGTCAAACGCAAATTCATACCCCTGAAAATGTCTGACTCTAAGCAAAATGTGTCTGAAATTTACAATTTTTAGACGGCAAGGATTACATCGAGCTTATCATGAAGGCGGATAATAGCAGTGTGCCAACACCATCCAAGAACCCCAGTAAAAGACCTAGGGTTAGATGCGACAAGAATGTTATCGCTCAGAAGGTTTGTTAATTTTGAATCTACATCGATTCGCACCACCACAATTTTCTCCTGGAAGAGGGTGGGGGGGCGGCTGGGGGGGATGTCAATTAAGGGGGTTCGTAGGTCACACCTCAACAATTTGAGTTGCGTGTGCTTCTATTATGTTCTTAGGTCACGCACATTAGACTATTTTACTATTTGACTTTGCCTAATTCATCATGAACTGTCTTGAACTGTGAACTCGTAGGTCCCACCTCAACAATTTGAGTTGCGTGTGCTTCTATTATGTTCTTAGGTCACGCACATCAGACTATTTTACTATTTGACTTTGCCTAATTCATCATGAACTGTCTTAAAAAGCACGCTGAAGGAAAATGAACTTCACTCCTTTTTCCGTACATTTTAAATATTTCATCACATACTCTCATTTAACGCTGTTTACTTGAATAATCAGAAAATTACATTAATTTACAATATTGTATCCAAACTCAAGTTCCTTTGTAATGTGTAAAAATTTCGCTATTCGTCAATTTAATTAGGTGGCACAGAAGATCAACTATGCAAAGAACCTCTACGATGAGGTACAGCAAACGGTGAAAGTGGAACTCAAGGAACCGACTTCCCCAGTTTAACTACTGGCCAACTGTGAAACAGTCCAGAGAAGAAAGACGTGTGACTACAATGGCACAATAAATTGAGGAGTCGACTGAGATTCACGCGGAAACTACTGGGTTCGAGTGGTTGAAGACCAAAGGAGAAAGAAGGTAGTAGCTGATTAGCTGAAGTAGGTGCCAACAGTCAAATCTACCTAATCAAGGAAATCATAGTCGTTTATCACGCTCACAAAAAATATCGTCTCAGTGATAACGCTAAGAGAAGAACTTAATATTTGATGGTTTTTTTTTTAATTTGATTACGAGTGTCAACCTTATAACTTCTTAAATTGATAACAATGTAATTTCTTGTTCCAATTTCAATACATTATCATACAAACCAGGTATGAGAATATGCCAACTTATCAACTAGAGAGGTTGTGGCGACACACTGTGACACGCTCAACTGTTCTTAACTATCGTACATGGAAATTTATCGTAAAGAAAGGAGAGTTACTAATCACTCGTAGGTAAAGAAAAGGTTTTGAAATAGTATCTTTGAAGAGTTCAAACTATAATTGATTCAGAAAACTTTGAAGATGTTTTTCTTTCAACCATTTGTTCATTAATGAACAAGATGAATTTACGAATAGGAGAGGGTTACTCTTCAATTAGCAAAGTAGTATCGCGAACTGTTTTGTTTGTTTGTTTTTCAATTTAATGTTTAACAGAATTAATATTAGAATGGTCAGTATTGTTGTTTATGAGGCAGGGCAACTGGTTTATTTGTATATGTAATCGAATGGGGCCGAGTAAAATTAAGGATTAATATCACGCGTGTTTTCGGAAGTTGCTGAAATTGCCCGAGTCGCCCAGCGACGAGGGCAATTTCTGCAACTTCCGAAAACACAAGTGATATTAATCCTTAATTTTACGAGGAACCATGTGATTACTTGTTTATAAAATAAGAGGCAAAATGTTTTCTTACTGATCTCGCGCAAAACGGGACGCCATTGTTACAAAACAAACAGAAATTTCTTTACCTTGGCAGCCGTTGCTAAGCGATTTTCAGCTAATCACTTACAAGTAATTTTGTCCGGGGCAATTACAAAAATTAAGAAAAAAAATGCCCTCTGTCTTGACCAATCACAATTCAGTAATTTTGCCCCTTATATGATAAATTCACGTAATCCTCATCCCTCCCGCAAATACACGCAGCTTCGACAGACACATTCGCAAATTCTGCAGAAATGTATTCCTGGAACAACAAAAAAAGTATCTTATTTACTGAATTTTAGGATAACGGTTTGCTTCAAATGGTTTTGGCGAAGGAATTCACCAACTTCAACTGAGTATGCACACGTGATTAGAGCACGAGATATTTTGCTTATTTGTCGCAAATTTGTACCAAAGGGTTTAAAATCAATATACCCATGATCGGGGTAGATTGCAATATTTTTCCTAGGAAAAACGCATTTTTGATTATCGTAGATTTTCTCTTGAAAGATCTGATTTCAGTTTTGAAATCCACATTTTTAGAACAAATTATGTCGAGATTAAAAGTTGTATATTTTATTGTGGGACTTTCGAATAAAACTGTCAAGATATAAGTTTGCCTCGTTTCCCATGTAGTAATCGTGAAAACCATCTAAAATATGTCAAGGACTTGTTAGAAACAACACGATGACTCTTTCCTATACTTATTAACACATTGTTACTCTACTTTACAGGGCATGCGCGTCAAGTTAATGAGTGGGAGGGGTAGGAGGGGACTTGAAGACTACTTGAGAGGGAGTGGGAAGTCCAGCGCATGCTCCTTTGAAAAATGTGGATTGCGACACTTCTGAATTTACATGAAACTTTTTGAATTAACATGGGAAATGTGTTTTTCCTTTTAAGAGCAGGAGAAACGAACTTCAAATTCCCTTTTGGGTCTCTAGAAAAAAGGAGAAACAGAACGCGTAGACAATTCCATTTTCCTCAGTGCAAGGAAAATAAAAGTGGTATCCTATGTTTTAATGACGTAAAAAAGAGAATTGTAGATATAACTTGAATTCCGTCTCCGCAGATTTCAAAAAAGGTTGGCTAATACACGGATTGGTGCGATTTCGGACACTTCGCTCCCTTTTCGTGCAGTTTTGTCCTACTTCAGACAATTATCTTCCATTTTCAGACAGCAATCCCATCTCATTTCTTTCACAATTTTCCGTTATCGGATGGTACCGCCCTACGTTTGGTTCGGTTTCTTTCGACTTCACTCACTCGCGTTCTTTTTTGTTCGGTTTCTTCCGACTTCACTCGCGTTCATTTTTGTACGGTTTCTTTCGACTTCACACACTCGCGTTCGTTTATGGACAGTTCCAACGGATTTCGAACACTTGCGTCCGTTTTCGGACACTACCGATTTTGGTTTCTAAAATCTTCTATAAAAAAGTAAAAAAACAAATGAAATAATCGAGCATTTCTTCATTCCATACACTACGTATCGTGTTTCCCCCACGCTCCTTCTGTACTCTTAACAGCTTCCTCCGTGCCTTACAACAGAACAGAAACCTCATTATGAACATCCCTAATTCGTGAGAGAGGAGTATTACCCTAGACCAACAAAAATTTTCACAACCTCCATCGCAAACTAGTCGACTTGAAATTTTATTTCTTGAACAGTTAACAACGCATAATTGTATGGATAAATATTGAAAAATAATTGTCTGCATTATTTGCTCTTCTTTAGGCAGATGAAGTGTTACTCATTGAAATTTCGCTCAGTTAGAGCTTCGTTGAATCCTGCCAAAGGCAATACTGTTTGAAAATTACATAATATGGGATATTCGACTGGTTAAAATATTTCCACAATTTATTTGTAAAGGAATGAAGATCCACAGCTGAACTCTCCTTCAGTCTTTTTTCGCTGATTGCCTTAATCTTGAAAGAAAAAAAAAATTAAATTGCCTTTATTATTAATTCTAAATGGAAACACCAGATTTAAATCTGTACTTTGATGTTTTCTGGTTAGGTGGGCGGAATGAAATGGGTAGAGTTGAAAGATACAAAACGTATGGGGGTTAGTTTAAGTACAGAGTTCCGTGAAGACAGAAAGAGCGACAGTTTTACTATTAAACAACAACAAACATATGAAACATATGTATGAACTGCGGTTATGAGACGTATATGTGAACGATCCTTCGCAGTAAAGCACTATTTGAGCAATAGTGAAAATCAGACCTGAAAAAAATTTCAGGCCTGTACGGGATTCGAACCACTGACCTCTGCGATACTAGTGCAGCGCTCTACCAATTGAGCTAACAAGCCAACTGGGAGCAGGCCATCAAATTAATTCGACATAAACCCGTAGATGATAAATCAAACAACAACAAACATATGAAACATATGTATGAACTGCGGTTATGAGACGTATATGTGAACGATCCTTCGCAGTAAAGCACTATTTGAGCAATAGTGAAAATCAGACCTGAAAAAAATTTCAGGCCTGTACGGGATTCGAACCACTGACCTCTGCGATACTAGTGCAGCGCTCTACCAATTGAGCTAACAAGCCAACTGGGAGCAGGCCATCAAATTAATTCGACATAAACCCGTAGATGATAAATCAAACAACAACAAACATATGAAACATATGTATGAACTGCGGTTATGAGACGTATATGTGAACGATCCTTCGCAGTAAAGCACTATTTGAGCAATAGTGAAAATCAGACCTGAAAAAAATTTCAGGCCTGTACGGGATTCGAACCACTGACCTCTGCGATACTAGTGCAGCGCTCTACCAATTGAGCTAACAAGCCAACTGGGAGCAGGCCATCAAATTAATTCGACATAAACCCGTAGATGATAAATCAAACAACAACAAACATATGAAACATATGTATGAACTGCGGTTATGAGACGTATATGTGAACGATCCTTCGCAGTAAAGCACTATTTGAGCAATAGTGAAAATCAGACCTGAAAAAAATTTCAGGCCTGTACGGGATTCGAACCACTGACCTCTGCGATACTAGTGCAGCGCTCTACCAATTGAGCTAACAAGCCAACTGGGAGCAGGCCATCAAATTAATTCGACATAAACCCGTAGATGATAAATCAAACAACAACAAACATATGAAACATATGTATGAACTGCGGTTATGAGACGTATATGTGAACGATCCTTCGCAGTAAAGCACTATTTGAGCAATAGTGAAAATCAGACCTGAAAAAAATTTCAGGCCTGTACGGGATTCGAACCACTGACCTCTGCGATACTAGTGCAGCGCTCTACCAATTGAGCTAACAAGCCAACTGGGAGCAGGCCATCAAATTAATTCGACATAAACCCGTAGATGATAAATCAAACAACAACAAACATATGAAACATATGTATGAACTGCGGTTATGAGACGTATATGTGAACGATCCTTCGCAGTAAAGCACTATTTGAGCAATAGTGAAAATCAGACCTGAAAAAAATTTCAGGCCTGTACGGGATTCGAACCACTGACCTCTGCGATACTAGTGCAGCGCTCTACCAATTGAGCTAACAAGCCAACTGGGAGCAGGCCATCAAATTAATTCGACATAAACCCGTAGATNAGATCCACAGCTGAACTCTCCTTCAGTCTTTTTTCGCTGATTGCCTTAATCTTGAAAGAAAAAAAAATTAAATTGCCTTTATTACTAATTCTAAATGGAAACACCAGATTTAAATCTGTACTTTGATGTTTTCTGGTTAGGTGGGCGGAATGAAATGGGTAGAGTTGAAAGAAACAAAACGTATGGAGGTTAGTTTAAGTACAGAGTTCCGTGAAGACAGAAAGAGCGACAGTTTTACTATTCTTGAGAATTCCAGCTGCTAAAAGAGACCATAATTTGTATACACTGCCATGGTGCGAGATCAATTTAACCGGAAAAACTTAAACTTGAAGTTAATTTGCAGAGCTTTGGACATATGAACTATCTTTACAGAGTACTAAAAGAAGAAATTAGTTATCCTTAAAGGAACACCACATCATCAACTTACTTGTTTTCATTAGGATCTTTACTTTTAATCTTTGGCACTCTTGCCAAAGGCTTGAGTGCGAATGGATAAAGAACAAACCAAATTCCTAACACAACTGGGCCTATGTAATACAGTGAGAGCCATGCCTTTGTAAAGAAATTAGAAAGAAATCTAGCGTTGGTAAACTTTTAAAAAAGTCAACGAAAGCTGTATCATCACCACGGATAGGAGACAACGGAAATACAGAAACAAATAATTTTAGGACGTTGATCTGTTTGAGGACGCAACCTTTTTTTCATTTTAATTTATTATTATTATGGTGGGTGCTAATGTCATAAAATGTTAACTGACGGGTAAACAAAGAAATTCAGCACTTAAGCTGAGGCGGGGACATAAACGATGTTTTGATTGAAATACAAACGTTTTTAAGATATTCTCACGTCAATAAAATTTCACAGAATTTTTTTCTTTGTAATAACGAGAAACTTTAATTAATAACAGTTGCATCCGGGAGTTTACCTTGTGAGATAAGTCCAGTCTCCGCAGTAAAAACGGAACCAAGAAGAAAGCAACCCCCGATAGACGCAAACAAACACCCATGAGGATGATGGGTATCTTAAATAACGGCGAGAAATCTTCAAATGGTGTCCGGATTACACGACGACAAAAACCTAAAAGCTGGACGAAAGATTAGAGGTATTAAAGTGAGCATATTAAATATTCATTTAAAGAAATAAAAAGGACACAAGGCAAGAAGCGTAGTGTTCTCAAATCTTCGAATTTGCTGCGTCATACAAAGGTGAGTGACGATGTATATAACTCATGACTTGTAGTTGGATATGTTGATCACGAAGATACACGATAGGGCTTTTGGTGCGCATATGGAGTTTTTCATTTGACCGAGGTGTGGTACATTTTATTTTGCGAGATATTTGTCATTGGGGACTTGCTTCTTGCGGATCGAGGACAATCCACAAAACCTCAATCTCATGTTAGTGTGAGTTTTCCGAACTTTTCACATAGCGGGGTAATGGAAAAGCAATGCAATCCTAATAATTCTCTACCCTTAAATGAAAAAAAAAATCCATTTGTTTATGAGCAATTACCTGTTGTTCCATTACAATGACGGCGAATTCTCCCATGAAGCACAGGAAGAATCCGGGTTCAATTCCGTGCCACAGAGCCACGAATGCGAGTGTTAAGAAGTGCGACAGAAGTTTATTGCCCAGGAAACGTAGTCTTTTGTACAGATACCTATACCATCACAGAAAGAGTTTAAAGATGATAAAAAAAAAAGGCACTGAGTGGCGTTATTCTAGGGCCACAAGTATCTAGAAATAATCAATCCTGGGTCGTGAATTTTGCTAAAGTGGACGTTCTATGCGGCATCTGTTTTGTGTAACATCTTTCTTTATTCGACCATCGAGCTAAAAATTAGTTGTTTATTTATGTGGAAAGCTAGAGAGCAAGCACCATAGAAACCGATATTTACCTTAAGTACGATGGCTAGAGTTAGCGAATAATCGTACTCGCTGATAATCCTCTTGGGAATATTTTTGTAAGTATAAATCTCGTCCTTTTAAACTATTGTTTTTAAGGAACCAAAATTCCACTTACCTAAACATCCATTGGTTCGTTTTCAAATTAAATGCGTCGATTACATGCTAAAAGAAAGGTAAGAAAAAAAATTTAGGAACTGAGGACAAAGGTAATATCCACAACAGAATATATCACAGAGTTATCGGTCGAAAAGGGAGCCATGCATGGAGCTGAGGTTGCAAAACGAAGTAAAATTTGGAGAAATTTTACATGTAGTCAATTGGTGAAGACATTAATTAACCAATTTGACAAGCGCTATAACTGTATAGTAAACAACGTTTGATCAAAAGGTGACAAAGTGCATGGTAAGGCGTCCTATGAATTTGCAGATGTCTATTTGTTAAAGAGGCCGGACTAATTACCAAGAGAGGAAGGGTTGTAATATGGATCAGCATTCCGTGCAGGGATAACTACTTTACTTTAAGTCAATTCATGCTCCTAATGTGTGATAGGCTTCCGCACCTCTGCAAGTCCTTCTCTTATTTAGCTCACTTCATTATCTCTGGCACCTTCCTTCTGCCTTCAGTGTCAACCTTGAATCAAACTTTAATATCAGGAGAATGGGAGAAATCATCGCCCAACAATCTCTTGATTATTAATTACTACATAAATGAACATAGTACGCATTGTCTGATCGTTCAATTCAGTTTCCAAGGGGATGCTTATAGTAATGTGAAGGTTTAAGGATTAAGTAATACCTGAAATGTGTAAGCACATTCAAACAGAAGAAGATGAACATTACTACAGCCATCCCATCTGACTCGGCCATCCGTTGACCGACCATTATAACCCAAACCTGTTATGATACAGGAACCTTCCTGAGGAAAAAAAAAGAATAAAGAAGATAAAAGATGAGGAATATATTGATATTTGCTAAAAATGACATCATGAACAAATAATCCAACCTTGAAGTGTCGTAGCGTTCCTTGCCTATCAAAAATAACAACTCGTCGCTAGGAACATCAATCCAAGGCTACAAAATACATGTGGACAAGAAGATGGACAAAGAGTCCCATATTAAGACTAAAACGGACTGGAAGATATCAACGAAATGCAGAGACAATTGTGTTTGGTAGTTTTCTTGAACTTAAACTTATCAACGCCATGCCTTTTGTTTCTTATTTTCTTCCGATAAATTTGAAAAATAAATACTTGTGTTGGCTTATGGTGACCAATTGGGTTCTCTTCGACCCTCTACTTTGGAATGGCAATCATTACAACGCAATACTTACCGCTATTAACCAAACTGCTTGGTATTTCATGACATTGACTTTTGTAGTCGCAATGGCATAGCAAAGCTTATAGAAGAACGATTTTTGCTGTATGAAAAGAAATAATGGAATCAAGTTTCTTTCTTTTAATAACACTATGTGGCGCGTCTATTTTGTTAAAAAAAAAAAAATCGATTAGCAAAGAGACAAAAACGGCAATTCCTGGGAACAATTTTGGACATATGGGTAATACTGTCTCACTATGCTCGTGTTATAGCACATCACTGAGGCTGTAAATTCATAATCGATCGCAAATAACATCATAAGGTTAGTAATGCTCCAGCTCTTTCTTGTATGGACCGTATTTACAGGCAACGTTTCCAGTTAGGTGGTTCCTCGCTTCCAACTTTTTGTCCATCTGGCAAGTGATTCTCGACCAAGCACTGTTTTCCTACCTTGTTTTTTTTTTTTTGGTTTTGTTCCCTTTTTTTTTCCTACCCGGTTTCAAAGGAAGGGAAAAAAAGAAACCCTGGGAACGAGATTGGATGTACCTCAATAACTTGGACGCAAATTAACTATAAACTCAATCAGTCACTACGCATAACTGTTAAAATACAACCTGAACAAACAAACAAGCACTGCAATTACGTAGATGGGTCACCGGATAAGAGTTACTTACATCGTATTCAGCAGTTGCTAAGAAGCTCCCTTTAACTTTTGGCTGCAGCAAAGTAAATGTTGCCAGGTACATTAACCCAATGGTGAAACGCTTAAGGCCAGCTAAATTCCTAGAAAAAAAATACATATAAAGATTACTTATTCATGATGGGGAGAGAGAGAGCAAGCATTCGATGTTCTGCCATCATGAAATAAAGAGCACAGAACATGTTCCCTTTTTTTAATCATTCAGAAACTAGAGCTGTTGAAAGCTTTGGGCAGTTTGCTGGTTTTTACTTTGAGTTCTCATTGGCTCTTAATGGTGTTTCCCTTTCTTCTTATTGGCCGTTGTGATTACTTTGGTCCCACGACAATCAATCGAAGAGCGCTCCATCTTTCCGCCAGTTGAAGCAAAACGATTCCAAACACAAACTCACCGAGAAGTTGCGATGTCGTCTTTCTTGTCAATTAGACGTCCCTCGATTAGTTCCAAGTATTTCTTTATTGGAAACTTAAAAAAATTACAACAACCTTGATAACTTTGGGCTAGGGAAGTCGATCGTACAATTTGGTAAAAATACACTTAAAAACAAAGATAACGCATATGACAAAAACTCGCAGAAGAGTAGTGCCATTACCGTAGTAAAAACTTAACACGAAAGCCATGAAACAGAAGCGAGGAAGAAACATGAAAAAAACAGAGGAACCTAGTCACCTTAAGACTCAAACAAAAAACGGAGAAAGCGCGCATCACTAATGAAAAGATCGTAAAGACAGCAGAGTGACAATAACTCTCAAAAAAGAAACAACTCTGAGTTTAAATTTATAAGACATGTTTCGACATTCTCATGTCATCTTCAGTTGCAAATGAGCATTTAACTGTTGTACATTTGAATTCAAATTAGGGTACGTTACAAACTACGTGTCAGGGCTTACGTTACATTTGAATGTTAAAAACGCGAAAAACGTAAATAGCGCGCGCTTGACTGACCAGTAAACGTCTTCTTGCGATATACACTAGTGACGATGGATGTATGATTGTTGTCTAACAATATGTCTAGAAACGATAATTTCTTATCAATTTCCTTTTCCATTGTGAAACGAATACTAGGATGCCTGGCGTTGATATAATCAAAGAACACGAGCGCGTCCTCCTCGCTATTGAACAAACAAAAGGTGTCATCAACATAGCGTCTGTAGAACAGAACTTCAGAGAATGAATAGTTATCTAGCCAGTTTTTTTCATGATGTCCCATAAAGAGGTTTGCAAGTACTGGAGCAAGTGGGGACCCCATGGCAACCCCATCTATTTGATCATAAAACACACCCTTAAACAAGAAACCAGTCTCGGCTGTTGCGAAGGTAAAAAGCGTTTTTAGGTCAGCGGCGTTTATCTTAAGACCAGGGTTACCATGATAAATGTAACTGATCGCCAGATCAATGCATTCATCAAGAGGTATACTAGTGAACAAACTCTCAACATCGAAAGATACCATGAAGTTCCCTGAGGTGGATAACTGGTTGATTTCATGTACAAAAGAAAACTTCGCATATTTATAAGCACCTGCAATCATCAAGGGCCTGTCTTGACTCTTGTGATACTGAAAGTTTCACGATCTTAGATTCTGCCGCTTCAAAATACCAAATTAAGATCAAAGAGGTATTGCATATTAAGTGGGAAAAACCTATCCTTAATCAGCAATTGAAAGATCTAGAATTGTCTCTTTCCTTTTAATTATGTTGTTCCTTGGTCTTTTGATTTATTTTATTATTATTACATTTATTTATTTATTTTTTGATCTAGTCAAGCGCGCGCTATTTATATTTTTCGCGTTTTTAACATTCAATTTGTAACGTACCTTAATTTAAATTCAAATGTGCAACAGTTAAATGCTCATTTGCAACTGAAGATGACATGAGAATGTCGAAACATGTCTTGTAAATTTAAACTCAAAGTTGTTGTTTCTTTTTTGAGAGTTAATGAAAAGATCAAACTAAAAGAGCGCGCGTCATTTCAGCAACAACTAGACGAGACAGCTCATCGCTTAAATGATAATCAGTCAATACAAAGAGAGTGCCCACGAATAACATAACGATCGCGACAACAAAGTGGGCGCAAAACTAAAATGATATCAAAACACACCAAAATTGTGACAATGAAAAACAAAAACAAAGAGGGCACGCGCGTTACTAACATAACAGTCAGACACTGAACAAAGTGAGCGCGTGTGTCATTAACGTAACATTCAGACACTAAACAGAGTGAGCGCTCATCACTAATGTAACAGTAAGACACTAAACAAAGTGAGCGCGCATCTCTAACGTAACAGTAAGACACTAAACAAAGTGAGCGCGCATCTCTAACGTAACAATCGAACACTAAGTAAGTAAGAACTTTACTTAAGTTTCAATAACTCTAGCGTAAGAAATACACCAATGGGGGACACCTAACTACAATTACCTAGTTAATTGTAAATATTATGTAAAAAAAAAAAGAAAATCTTAAAGGGAGCGCTCATCACTAACGTAACAGTCAAACACTGAGCAAAATGAGCGCGCATCACTAACGTAACGGTCAGACGCTAAACAAAGAGAGCTCGCGTCACTAACGTAACAATCAGACACTAAACAAAGTGAACGCACATCACTAACGTAACAATCGAACACTAAACAAAGGGAGCACTTATCACTAAAGCAACAGTCAGACACTGAGGAAAGTGAGCGCGCACCGCTAACGTAACAGTGAGACGCTAAACAAAGTGAGCGCTCATCACTAACGTAACAGTCAATCCTAAACAAAGACTGCGCAAGCTCAACAAGCGAGAGAGGAGAGTGGGGATCACTAAACTAACAACCAAATTAAACACAAAAGAAAGAGAAAGCGTAATACTAATGTTTGAGAAAAAAAATCTAGTAAAGGGCGGATACATTATCATCATGACAAAGAGGCGTAAGAAAGAGACTGTACGTTAACAGACAACGTACAAACATAAACAAAGAAGTGCGAGCATGACAAAAACCACATTTGAAGGAAACGAAAAGAGCGCATCACATAACAAGGAAATATAGGTAAACTTAGTGAGCGTAAATCGCCTGATTACGCAAAAAGAAAGATTTAGTTCAAAAACGGTTGCTTTTACCTGAGGTCCAACAAGAAACCCTCCGAAGAAGTAGCAATAGCTGGCTATCTATAATATAAAGTAAGTTAAGCTGAGGGAGGTGAAGGAATAGGATAGAACTAAGGCAAGATGTGTTTCTCTCAAAGTAAGCAGTTCTAATAAAGAAACCATATTTTAAATGGAATCAGAAGACTAATTAAATTCATACTTATTCCTCACAACTCAATGCACGAAAATTTATAGGATAAGTACTTTTAAAAGTAAATTAAAAGTACTCGGCCTTTCAATTGCAAACGAATTCAACGTTTTGTTTTTGATGAACACGAATGCTTTTTTTGTCTAATTTTAACGTTTGAAAACAAAAAGTGGGGAGACTGTGGGAAAAAGTATCTTTAACATGCGACAACATTCTTTCTCGCCAAACCTGTTACCGTATGTTCATTTCTAGTTAATAACAAGGAATGTTTCGGGTCGCAAAAAGAGCCGATTTTTTTCATACCTGTAAAAGTGATGGGCAGCCATATATGGCAGTTCTTTTGAAATCTTCAGACAGCTTCTCCTGACAAAATATTGTTTGCTAATCAGAAAATTTAGCACGAAAAGAATTATTATAATAAATGACTGTTTATTTATTGATGTATTTTCGTAGCAAATTGTGTTGCTACATCAGGGGAAAATGACACACTAGGTAATTTTTTGTTATAGACGAGCATTGTCAAGAATCTAATCACATTAAACTGCATTCTAATAGCATCAATGCGGAAAAGAGAAACGAAACAGTACAGAGGCACGAATGGCCACGATAAAAAGAAACAACAGCAAATAGACTGCACGATAGTTGACCGCTAAGGAAACACATCGCCAATTTCAATTACAAGCAACTCGGTAATCTAAGCTGAGTATAGCTTAGTGACTTATCATTTACCTGACCATCCCCCTCCTAAGGTTCTATGGTATTCTTATGATCCCCCTCCTTAATATTTAATCTTTTATTTCCCCCCCTTTTTTTACTCGGTTACCGACAAGTGATCCCCCTTCCGTTTTCCCCTAAAATCATGTGATTCCCAAGCTCTCCCTCCACCAGGCGATAAAAAAAATGACTGGTCACTTGGTAGCCGCTCATTGGAAGCTTGTGGTTTCAGAGTTGCTTCAGAATAACCTCTTGGCATGCGATAAAAATGACTTTATTTCAAATTTTATAAAAAGATTATCCTAATGAGTTTCGATGGGTGTTTCACTAACCTGGTCTTGATGTCCGTCGTAATAATCCCAAGCCAAACCTGAAAAGAAATGAAAGATTTTGTTGGCTAAATTTAGAGAAATAATAAACATGAGGAGAACTAATTAGAATAAAATGGACACGCGATTCCTTATTTGTTTGTTGTTTTTGTAAGCGCCAGGCGCCACCCCGTGTGGGGGACTGGAACTAGATTAAAGTGTTGTGAGCACATGGAATTAATCATGTCTGAAGTGTCGTTTTAAATCAGGGACTTAAAGAATTTCCCACGCCTAGGAATCTCCATAAAATAAATAGTGGAGTATAAGTTAACTCTAAATATTTAAGCTTATTGTTCCAGTTCATCATAGTTTTCATGGTACCCTCAACCAGCGTTCTTTTTTGCAATTACCAGTGAGACGAAGACACAACACACAGTGAGCTGTCGTCCACGATACAGAATAATCGTGAGAATAAGACTTGGAAACGCATCCAGTGACAAGATAACCCTGAAAAAAAATATCATATTGATTAAAAAAAGAAACACACACGCACAGGCGTCATATTGTTTTGGTTAGTGAATTGATTGGCGATAATCATCTCTGTTCTCTTGTGAGAACAGGCTTGTATTAATTCCTAAGATCTCTTTATGGCATGTAAATCAAACATGCAGCAAAAGTTTGCTTATTGTCAGCATTTATTTGCTGCAGGTCGCCTGCATTTGCCCTTTTCGCCTTAAGAAAAGATGTCGTTTTTTCGTTATTTTTCAAATGCACTGAGCTAAACGCAAGGCGAGCAAAAACGTAAGTAACGAACAATGGCGTCATATATTATTTTCCCTTCTCCCTTCGCCCGTGACCATCTTGCTCGCTTCTCGCGTACGCTTAAGTCCGCTCAGATGAAAAAGTTTAAACAAATTACGCAGTTTCTTGGCATTTATTTATCGCAATTTGTCCGTTAGCTACTTTTGTTTTCTAAAAGCTGTTTAAAAAAACTTACAACATTTAACTTACGTCCGCAGTTCTTTGATTTCAACTGAATTTTTACATTCTGCGTAAAGAGATCACAGACAATCTTACCACATTTAGCATAAACATCACAATGACTGTCACAGTTTTAGGTCCACCGAGACGTAGTAACAGGTAGGCCGAAAGGATGTTCACTACAGAGTGAAAGCAAGAACAACCTGGAAACGAAACACAAACACAGTTAATATTGCATTTTTTTTGGTGACTAGTTGTTTGGTCTTCTGAGTGATATGCTGAGTGACGTCAAAGATAAGAGAGGGTTTTGGTTCCACAGTAGTTTATTATAGGTAGAGCCAACAACTGTCATGATCTCTAGCATACACAACTTCGTAATCGCACGATGTAATCGAACAAAGCTTTTCAATGTACTTCCTTATGTAATATCGAGCGCGTGGTTCTATTGTTCTCTTAATTTTTACAATGTTTGAATAGTATCACAAAAGAAGCGGAAATGTATCTTTAAACTAAAACAATTTCTACTTAAATATTCCATCTGTTTTTACGACGGAAAAAATGTCAAAATTAAGAAAGCGGATACAACTCTAACCCATTAAAAATAGGAAACTTAGGTTTGCTTTTCCCATTCATACCCCTTTCTGGCCTGCGTACGCGTGTTTTCCTAATGGTATTCTTTTGTTATGAAAGTGCCCTAAATTTGAGTAACCCCCCCAGGTTTGTAGCCGATTTATTTTGTTTTATTTTTGATACTCTTTGTTTGCTGGTCTTTCTTTTTAATAACCAAAACAATCGCGAGTCAGACTTAAATCCATGAAAACTTACTTGAAAGAGCTCAATGAATCCAAAATACCGCCCGCGTGACGATTTTCACCTCAGTTTGCGTGATGCGTGACAAGTTTCTGTCACGCTCATTTAGGCCTTTTTGCATGTTTTTGTCTAAAGACTAAATGAACAAAGAGGACACGGCCACATGGACTTGGGCAGGCAAATCCCAGTCATAAAGGATCCGCGTGAGATTGTAGTGAAACTTTTAGTCTATGCTGAACTGAGTTGCTTGAAAAAATGATGCTCAAAACTTTGCTGACAATGTTTTACTTTGTGAAATACTTAGAACTGCAAAATAAATCAATTATGAATCGATAGGTAAAAGTAGAAATTTAAACAAATAAATCCAGCATGACAAGTTCGTCGGAGTGTACCCACGAGGAACTTGCGTGACAAGCTTTGAATTTCATGCTTTTTACTCACCAAAACAACAGTAAGCCAATAGAAGCCCACATCCAGTGATAAAGAGGTGCTGTGGGGCGAAAAAGAGTTAATTCAATAATTATGACTAAGAATTGGTGTTTCAGGTCGAAAATATTAACTTCAAGTGGTCAATAGAGGCTCTCACCTGAGCGGTTGGGTTCCCCCGATAACAAATGGCTCTGTAAACAAACGCTAGCGGTAAACCTGAATGAAGGAGTGTGAAGTTGAAGGCAAATTAAATGCACCCATGGAGAATATTCATCTTAAACAGGAATCCTACGAGTTTCAATTTTTTTGAAAATTCGATTCGATGTGACCCCTGAATAGGCGAAGCAGTATAGCTAAGTTTAGCTTGTTTGTTTATATCTACTTTTGTGATATGGGTCTGGGTCAGATATTTGTGTTCATAGAGTGATTTTCAAGCAACTCTAATTCTTTAATTCGTGATTTCGTGGTGCAGGTAACTTTTTTAATTGCTGCAGTATAACTCCTATATTCAACATTAAACTTAACCGTTGACCTAAACTGATTATTACACGGAATATACGAACATAAATACCTTGTATTACATAACCTCTACGAAAACCTACCAGCGCGAGTGAGGTTCATGTTAGGTTACCAAAGCCAAGTAAAACGGGGAATTGAACAAAGATATTTAAGTTTAATTGAGGCAATTCAGCCATGTAATTTCAATCGTACATGCTTCTGAGAAGTAACGGTTCACTGGCGATGAGGTGACAGTCTTCCGCCTCAGAATTTTAAAACTTCAGACACTAAACAATAGCTTTACTCTTAAATACATACCTGCTAACAAGCTGATCGTTAAGCAAAGAACAGATTCCGCCACTCCTGCGCGCTTGGCCGCGTAAGCTATCAAGTTCTCCGTATTGCCGCCTGTTTCCATCTCCAACCGTAGATACCAGTTGGAAAACCAGAGCGTTAAGACAAATTCTGAAGAAATTCAATTTGCTTTGAACTGGAAAAAAGAGGAATCGTCAAACATCGCGGAAACAAATCCGAGCAACAGGCCTATGCACATAAATTATTTCACCGCAAAGGTGATACTTTCGAAAGGTTTCCCGAGGGGGCTTCTTTTGTCACGCAATCACTTGAAACTTATTGATAAAATGTTCTGATAGGGATCGACTTTTTTTCTTTTCTTTTTTTTAATATTTTTTCAAGTTTGTTTTTGTTTTGTTTTTTAAAGCCCTTTTAGAGGCATTTTTTAAAATAGTAATCATACAAAATACGAGATGACCGAGGGCTGCCAAATTCCAAGAGTACTTTTCCTTTCTAACATGTGTGTCACTTATTAAATATGCTGAAGTGAAAATTTGTTGAACTTTACTGAGGAACGAATGCATGAAAGTCTCAATACACCATATTAAGTATTCTTTTCGCCAAGTAGCTACTCGCAGCCGATTAAGAATACTTTATGAACTGATGGAGATTGCTGATTTAAAGTGAAGTGAAGTACTGTGCTTCATACTTGGGGACCAGTCGTGATCCAGCACCTTGGTGGAGTGGGGTGGTGTGGGGGATTGCAAAACGCTTGAAGCCGAGTGAATGCCAGTTACTGCAACCGACAGACCGAGTGACGATTCCAAAGTTTATTGAATACATTAGTATGGCAAAGTTTAGCAAAGTGAGACATTTCTGTCACAGTTGAAACCAACATAAGACTACTTCTTGTAAAATCTGCAAAAATTCTGTCGCTGTTTTAATCAAGAAATTCTCTTCAGGCACACGAATCAAAATCTCACACTCTTATTTAATTGATAAGGAAGAAATAATATATAAATGTATATAAATGTATATATAAAGGCTGATAGTTTCGAAAGATATATAAATAAGACCCTCAATGTTTAATCAGAGTATTTGTGTGAAAATTTTTAACTCATAGCATGATTATTAGAATGAAAATTAATGTCGTTTAACAAGTTTCTTTCCACTGTCACCTAGACAATAGCGTCCGATTTACTCGCTTCGCTTCACTTAATACAGCCGGTGACCAGCGGTCTACCGCCGCTTGAAAGACCTCTTATCATTGTCTGTTGAGCCCATGAGCAAGCTCTCGTGTTTGGGTTTTGCCTTGCAGCACAGACGCTTGTGGAAACAGGCTATTGAAACCTCTGCCATTAACGGCAAGGAGAAGTAAAAAAACAAACAAACAAACAAAAAGACTTGGCCTTCTTTTTCAAATTGAACATCTGGGAAAGTCTACGTTCCTGTGATTAATACCCTGCAATATTCACAGCTAACATGCGACAACATAACAAGGTATCTTTCTTCCAAATAAAAAACTCATTCCTCCGTGAATCTCAAACCTCTCATAAGAGGAAGAGAAAGGCTCTTGTGGAATGTTCCTTGGTAAATAAAATATATTAAAATTTTTAAGAAGTGAAACTAAGATGACAAAAGTTAAGATTCAACCTATTTTGAGTACGATGTGCTATATACTTTACATAATTCAGAGTGATAACTTGATCAGGGAAGAAGATCAAGTGCCGGGCTAGTCTCCTTCACAGCAGTTGTTTGGTTTCGTGACGCAACGCTGCAAAGGAGATCAGTGACGGGCCAGCCAAATAGAACATCTGAGATGAAATTCAGTTTCTTTACCGAATTAAAACTGAAAAAATACATCTAAAACTAAACTCACACAAAAGCAAATTATTCAATTAAGTGTGTGTAAAAACTTGCTTGACAGGAAAAGACAAACTCAAGTAGTAAATTGCTCCTAAGTAATAGCACTGGAGATGCGAATGAATTACAGCACTGCAGATATCCTAGTTCTCTTTCTTTGACCTGCAAAAAAATAAGAATCATTACATTTACCTTTAGAGATATAAACTGAGTTAATTCAGGATCCTATAGCAGCCAACTTACCAGAATTGTAACAAATATTAAACACAAACCAAAGTAATCAGCCAATCACAACAAATGAAAAGATCACAATGAGCCAATGAGAAATCAAGAAAAAAAAACCAAGCAAACTGCCTCATTGGTAAATGAATGAATGGGTACGTCTCTCAAGAAACTGTGGTGCAGCGTCGGTGGGCGAGTATAACGAAATAATTTGGTTTTATCAACTGAGCTGATAATGTAAATTGGCCACCATAAAGAGATTAAAAGCTGACGTTTCCAATGTTGGCCCTTCGTCAGAGCATTGTATACAGTAAAAACCCGCAAGTAAGAACCTAAAAATTAAGAACCTGTTAGCCTAAAATTTGCCATTTATACCCCCTATAAACAAGAACCTATTTAGCCTAAGAAAATTAAAATAGGTTCTTATTTTCTAAAATCATATAGTACATTACAGGTACACTGAAATTATTTACTGTAATCATAATCGAAGAAAAACCAGATTGCCATTGCTGTAAAACATGATTTTCTTAAGAAAAATGAGTGCAAAATATGTAGTTACAAAGCATACTAAGCAAGTGTAGATCCACACTACTGTATGGTAAATGCAGTGAAGCTAGTAATAATTACAAATAGCAACAATAATAAAAAAAAATGTATTTAAATATTTTGATGCAGAAGGTCCAGGTTAAAAAGAAGGATACAGTGATATGCATATTCAGTTACTCTGTGTCACATTTCTTAATGTCACTGATATTGAAATCCAGATCTTTTCTTTTCAGCCTTCTCACTACTCTCTGTAGATACTGCTGATTCCCAATCAGCCTATAGTCCACAGGTATCTTGAGTCCTTTTCCTTGGCCAACATTATATCTGTGTCCAATGCACTCCACCTCAACCTCTCCACAGTCACGAATAAACTTGTTCATAATCTTCGAAATCTCAATAGGTATATGACCCACAGTTTGACCAGATTCATTCTTCACTGCCACAGCATATTTGTCATGGGGATTGTCTTCTTCAATAATTTTCGCACATCATGACATCCCCTACATGTACAGTCGAATATTTAAAGTATGCGTGATAACCTCGAACACTTGACTCCACAAACACCTCATGCACTCCAGAAATTATCAATTTCTAGCTTGTGCAAAATAATGCGGCAAACAAAGTAACGGAAACAGCGGAATTTTGCACGATTTGTGAGTTGTTTTCGACAAGAATGTGTGAAGAGTTTGGGTGGTACCACTGGCCATTTGCATTGAGTTTAAAGAAATACGTCATTTCCTGTCCAGCAGTAACGTAAACACAATGCTTCAGCGCTTCGCGCTTCAACACACGTGAGTTTGACAGCTGTGAGATTTCTCGACTAGGCTTTCTCCAGCTTAGGAAATGAATCACACTTTATTCCACTTCGGTTTCAAGAAACAAGTTGAAACAAAAAGTGGCAAGCTCTTTGACTGCAGGCCTTTCAAAGACAGTCGAGCTTCCTGACAAGCCCGTAAAGTGTGAAATTTGCCACAATTCGTTTGCGGAGGAGAAATATCTGGCTACTCACGTGCGATTCAATCATCCAGATCAGCTGCCGAAATCAAAACTCCGCTAAAGCAGCTCTTCATCGAAAAATTCAAACAGTGCTAACCAAGCTACTGATAAGGTTGAGGCATGTTACGGAAAAAGAGGCAGCTCAGAAATTCAAAGCTAGTGACAACTGGTTTCAGAGGTTCAAAAAGTGCCATAACATTGCTTTCCGGAGACGATCGAACAAGACGTCTGCAGCCAGTGACGGTAAGGAGACTATTCAGCGTTTCCACAGAAATCTTAGAACATCCTTCAAAGCAACAAGACGGCGAAACAATGCTAAGCTGGATGGTAAATATGGGCGTTGGCTACCCCAAAACAGGTACAATGTCGATCAAGTGCCCCTTCCTTTTGTGATTGATAAAGATAAAACCTATGAAATGAAAGGGAGTGAGCAAGTGTGGGTTTCACAACCCTCAAGTGGCCTGGACAAGAGGAAAGCTACTTTGCAGCTTTGCATTCGGGCAGAGGGTCCACAAAACGTCAAGCCGGGTAAAAGGAAATGTTAGTTCTGAAGAGAAAGCTCAATATGATGAGGGGGTTGACGTTTACTTTCAAAGCTGTGCCTGGATGGACAGTGATATTAATATGCAATGGGTAACCAAAACACTTGCTCCAGACATTGGCAACTCACCAGAAGAGAAAGTTATCTTTGCTGACAATGTAACCTTCCAACAGGATAAAAAGTTCCATAATACTTGCAGACATGAACTCAACACTATTGTATACCTTTTGCCTGAAAACCACACTGACAAGATAGAACCCATTGATGCAGGGTTTGGTAAAATGCTAAAAACCAAAATTGGCCATGAGATGGACAAGTGGCTTGAAGAGAAGGACAATTTAGAACTGTGGCACGACAAAATAACTGCACGACAGAGGAGAATCCTCATGACAAAATGGGAAGGTGCAGCATGGAGGGCACTGGTGAAGGACAGAGATTTTATCAAGAGACTTTTTCAGAAAACAGGATGCTTAATCACTATTGATGGAAGTGATGATGACATGATTAAGCCTCAAGGACTTGAGGACTATACATTTTGACAGTCATACAGTTGATATTATAACATGTTTTGGCTTTGAACTAAACTGGATCAAGTTGAAAGAAGGACCATAAATTTATAGAAATTTTGGGCTCTGTTTACCCGTTTTTAATATTCATTTTTTAAATGTT